CAAAGTCAAAAAGACAACATGAACTTAAAACATCGAATGTCTTTTTTTGAATCAGCATGTGAAGATTTATCATTTCACTCTTTTCTAAAAGCCAGTGATTGAGATTTTGAGGAAAAGAATGGTTGTAATAAACATAGAATATGCTGAATATAGTCTTAATTTTGATTGTTCTTAAGGCCCAAATACTGTCAGGAAAATGTTGAAAATAGCATTTCCAAGCATCGTCCCCAGTGGGGACGTCTACTTCAAGACTTATTGACAGCACTGGTATGGAACAAATCAGAGGTCAGTTGAAATACAGCTGATGCGGAAGTTTACATCAAACCAATTTGTAAAGGACTTGCCGTTGCCTAGCAAATTTCAGGAACATTTTAAGTAAGTAATGGAAAGACTTGTTTCTAGACAGACAGGCAGCTTACAAGAATACTGTTCAAATGAAGGAAACATTTCCAGAAATGTTATCACACTGAGCATTCTTTCTGTTGGACCTGTGCAGAAAGGTCACACATGGTCCGCTGAGGATTCATCACTTGTTTGCTGTGGGTCTCATTAAAGAGATTACCTGGGTGAGGAGTCTCTCCCATTTTTAAAAGAGTGCTACAGTAACATATTCGATAATGTAGATAAGGAATCCATTACTGGCCATTTCAATAGATATGCTGTTTGTAAATATTCTGGAAAAAGATATGGCTCAAGCTTAACAGAGACAGTCAGACAGATCATTTTATATTCTTTCAAGGTGGTGTGCTTTGGGAGCAAAAATTGACACTAGTGGAGGTGATCTCAAGCCTGGTGTCATTGAGTTTTTTTATGGAGCAGATCATCAAAATCAATGGGCAATCAGTTCGTTGCCTATTAGCTGTTGTGCGCTGGTTCCAGTCCCATCCCTCACGGCACTTGCTAGGTGCTCCAGTGGAGTTGTGGTACAAGGATCTCTTTGAATTAGAAGGAGCAGCTACTTTTGTTCCAGTTAAGAGATAACATGGAAGGCTACCGAATGCAGAAATAACTCTTTACAGTAGTCTCAAGGCATGAGGGAGCTTTAGAAAAGTGATTAAATGATTTTATTTCTCATAAATGAGTAATTTTGTGCAGTTTGAATTATGTTACAGTTGAACCTGTATATAACGGCCACCCTCGGAACTTAAGGAACTGGCCTCTTAACACAGGTGGCCGCTTAATACAGGATCAACAAAAATACACACTGGGCATGGTTCGTGATATGGTGCTTTACATCAACACATTGCAGACATGTGGAAAGCGTTAATGATACTAAACACCCGAATTATCAGCTTACAGTAGCCTTGTACAAGTTATTTCTTTACAGCGATGATGGATCGCATTTTAAACACAGTAAAATGCTGCATAAAGTGACATGTGGATTAGCTTCCGTTCAAGGGTGGCCGCTTAATATAGGGCCGTTATATACAGGTTCGACTCTTTTTTCAATTTCTAAATTCAAATCCCCTGAAGTAGTCAGGCCAGTAAACGTACTCCCGACTTGCCGTGTCATGTCTGCTAGTATGACAATAAAGGGCAGTGTAGCAGATGATATTATGGGGTGTTTTTAGCTGTTTCTTGTATTTTCTAAAGCCCCTACAGGCTTACCATAAGCTTAATGTATTAAATAAGTCCTAAAAACAGTCTAATATATCATATTTTGTTGCTATTTCATTCAGTCTTAGCCAATAGATGAATCAAGCCAGGTGAAGGAAAAAAAGCAGGCACCTGATGTTTTTTCTTCTGACCTACCACTTACACATGTAAACAGATATCATCTCAGCAATGTTAAAGATCTCAAGAGTTCTGCTAACCGACCACTGTTACTGGGATGTGGGGTCTTTGGAAGATGCTATAAAATGTATTATAGAGGGATGTCAGTTGATGTCAAACAGTTTAACAAGCATCTCTCAACAGAGTTCGATGTTATTAAAGAAGCATCACTGGTGAAACAGTTGGTTCACCCCTGTTTCCCCTTCGTTTATGGTATTTGTACAGAAAGCAAACCTTATCTGTTAGTAATGCAGTTTTGCAGTGTGGAGTGGAAAGCATACACCCTTTATTAAACAAGATATTTGAAAGTTCAGATGTTCACAACCTGCACATGGGAAGTGCTGACAATACAACTCAACTTGATTCTTTCTAATTTACAGGTTCTTTTTTCCTTAAGTGGTATCAATACAGTGCAGTCTCTGGAAAGTTGCATCATGCCACAACAAGTTCCACCATCAAGTCAAATTACTCTCTTTTGTGTTGTAATTTCAGTAAAGTTCGTATCTTTCATTACATTATGGATGATACGTTCCCATCAGAGATCACTGCAAATGATGATATGTTGCCATTGGACTGCATTAGTAGAGCAATGATGGCAAATTAAAAATTTTTAGTGTAAATTACAGTCTTTTTAAGAAGTATGTGGAAATATTTCTGATAACTTTTTCATTAATACAACTCTAGCTTTAATTCGGTCTTCTTTATTTTGCTTAAAGAGTCTCTGACATCTGCTGAGCATGTATGATTTGATTTGCCTTAAAATTTCGTAAGAGTGCTGTTTAAGCCACAGGAACAGTTAGGTTGGGCGTCATTTGCATAAAGTAGAAAATAGGCTAAAATATGTACATAAAGCCCTAGAATACCATCAAAACTTTCTTTAAAACACAGTGGGCATCATGTCATTGCCCAAGTGGGAGAAAAGTTGCCTTTTTGGTTCAAAGCAGTTTATTTTCTGTTTTAACCAATCTTTGTGTTTTAGCATCTCAAAAAATTGTCCCAGCATTACACTGTTTAACCTTAAGTTTTTTCATAGCTGATAATGCCTCCTCGTTATACCATTAGAATAATAGGAATATATTCAAGCATGGAAGAAAATACTGTCAGTTGGGTTTTTTGTATATTGTTATTACATTTTAGGACCCTCAGCCAAAGACTACAATAGAGCTGAAAGAGAGGTCTTTCACAGGTGTGTTGTACAACATCAGAAAAATTAAGGAGACAAAGATTCTCCAAGTGTTTCTCAAGTTAAAGAAATGCTGGTACAATTTAAGGATGATGTGGTGTAACAGATTGAATTGAGTCAACAAATTTCAATTATTTATTCACATATATTTAAATTCCCCTAAAATCAAAGTGCATTAAATGTGACAACTTTGCCAGGCCCATGAAAAGAAGTGTAAAGAGCCCGAGATCCATCAATGACATCTTCATGATCATGGCATTTGCGTTGACTAACGAAAACTTAAGCGCCAGTGTCCCAGCACTAACTGGTGCTTGTACAACTTTAAGTGAAAATGGAGATGAGACTATAGTGGACTCGCCACAGTAATGCTATGCCATATCACTGCATGAGTAATTACTGTTGTAGAAGTTTTTCTTTGGCGGTAAAATTGTTGACTCCCTTACCTGTACAGGGTTTCAAGATTTCAAGTTATCTCTCGTTATTGAAATTTCAATAAATTTCTAAAGTGCAGAAGCCAGCATTGGTTTCCTAAAATAGAAATAAGTTAATGTTAAATTAATTCACTCCTACACAGGGCCTCAAAAAGTTCTCGTTTTAAACTTGAAAGTCCCGAGGAAAGAATACACATTTCGGGATATCGATGAAGTGTTCGTGAAATCCCTTCTGGCAGAATTGAAAGAAAATGACGTCCCTTTTTGGTCACTGCTAGCGATAGTAAAAGGAGTTTTGATGCCAAAAGAATTCAATAAAGACAAGCCTGACTCGCATAAATTGAAGGTGATTGGTGGTAACCACCAAAGAGTGGCCATACAGGTTATGCAGACAGAAGATCCAGATAATATTAAGTATAAGTATACAGAGGTCATTTCCTAACAGGTTAGTTAAGCCTGAGCTTTATCTCCGCACAGGAGGTTTTTTAATGAAATACAAAGCAACGTTTTATTTATTTACAAGCAGCTATGGATCCTTCTGCAGAGATACCACAGAAAGACGTATGTAACATTTTCATTCCTAGTTCGGCCAAAACCGACCAACTGGACAGTTGGCCTTTGTGCCATTTGATTCCTTCAGATAGTCTTTCTCTCCCGCTTTCAATATTCACTGTTCATGTTCGGCGTTCATCCAAAGTTAATTTATAAAGTTTGATTTCAAGCCACCGGCGTATAGGGACTGATACGTAAGTTGTATTCGCTTGTTTTGTTGCTTATCTCGTTTCGAGCAAGCTCTTTCGTCTTTATTTGTATATATATTTTGTGTTTGCCGTGGCACTTGGTTCATTCATTAGTTCCTTTATTAAGTTAGATTCATTTACGCTGTTAAGTCGCCACGTGTTTAATTGAATACAATCGATTATATAAGTCCCTTTTTTATTCGCTTACAGTTTACGAGATTGATTAAAGCTATGTCTCTGTAACATATCCCCTGGTTTGGTTGGCATTTTCTCCGGTCGCGATTTTCTTGGCACTTCATTCAGTCTTGATGTTCGTTTGCCGCAACAGTTTTCAAGTAAGTATTTTACTGTCTTTGTATCCTACTGTTATCTCAAATTAAGTATTTTTTATCCACTATTGATTTTTGTTAATTTTTATTCTTTTTATTTGCAATTAAAATCTAAAGTTCACTTCCTGCACAAGTATTCATCCAAACTATAATTTCAAGCGTAAGTATTTTACATTATTTCAATCCTACTGTTTTTATATTAATAATCTCATTGTCCTGGGTTTTTAACATGACATAAACACCTACACCTCTACCAGTCAAAGTTTTTGCCTACATTCCTTTGTGCATTAAGTCTTAATGTCAATTCCCTCGTATAGATAAACCATTAAAAAGATAAACCATTGAACCAAAAACTTGACGAATGCAGATGTGGCCATTACATGTTTTCTTTTTTACATGAAAAAAGAAACATATTAGTCTTATCCAAATGATTTACTTTTCTTATCCATTTATGAATCTTTTTTAATGTTGCTTTTAATTTATTTGTAGTTCCGCTTCAACTGCCACGGAATTAATTATTTCAGTAATGGAGTTTGAAAAACGTGCTAATATGCCAGGTAAGCAATCTACTAATCTACAATCACCCTAAACAAGTTTAAAAAACAAAAAAACAATAAGAATGCTATGGATACATTTATTATTTACAATAAAAGTCACTTTTTGAAAGTATGTTTGATATATGCATATTTTTCTACTATCATAGGTTGCTTGGATGAGATTGATGAAAAAGAAGACCTTCTCGGGTACATTTCAAATATGACTCCAATGATGACCAGTGGGTCAAAAAAGTATTTTAACTGCCACATTAACACAAAAAATCAGAAGAAAAGGGCAGTCTGCTTCTCACCTAAAAAGAGAAGTAAAATGACTAGACTTCAAGAGCAGAGATCCCCAGTAAAGATATCCAAATTCAAGATAAACTGGAATTCACCAACAAAAGACATTGTCATCAACCAGGATACCAATAACTCGCAGACAACACTAAGTGACGAGAATGCTTTTACACCTGAAACTGTTCCAACAGACTCCATCACGTCCCTAGACTCCCTGAAAAATGCTGTCCCAGAACAGCCTATCACAATAAAGGCCAAAGTGTTCAACCTAACCCAACCCAAGAAGATCATAACTTGAAACAAAACAAAACTTATCAAACAGGATGGAACACTAGTGGAGCCAACTGGACAAATCAACGTTGTTCTTTGGCAGGACCAAGTTGATTCCATTCAAGAAGGGCAAACTTACATCTTCAAGCACATCAAAGAAAAAGACAACCCGTGTGGTGAGTGATGTGTTAATCCTCCAAAAGACACCAGCAACTACCCGGCAACTGTCACACCTGAACACGAGGATGCTTTACCTGAAGTAAATGTATTGCCTAACATGATCAATCAGATTGATGCAGTAATTTGTGAAGTGAAGAAGATGTCCTTTTTTAAAGCCTGTTTTTCTTGTAATTCAAAAATTATAGAAAAAATGGCCAAGGAAACTGCACAAGATGCCGAATGACAGTGAAACTTCAATTGTGTAAAAGTCAGTGCTATATGAGATTATCATTCATGAAAATACCAGACAATAATACTAGGCAGCTGTCTATTTTCAGTGCCTAAACAGCCATTTTAGCGGCATTAATGAATGTCAGTATTGATAACTGCAGTCGTGATGACCTTGCTGAACACTTGTTTAAGCTTTACTTATGACTCGGCCACCAATAAGCTTCTTAATGTAACAAAAAAAAGACATTTAGTTCGCTTTCCTTATAGTTTAGGACTTAGAACATGATTAACTAAAACACATGTTTATAACATTTGCTCAGTGACGTGAACTTTTCCATAGTTATTGTTCACAGTATAATACTTTGATATGTTTCTTTGAATATACCATGTTTTTTAGAGCAAAAAATGTATATTATGCAAACTTTTATCAAAGTACACAAACTTTTAGACTGATTTTTAGAACTGTTAACAAGACATTTACGAGAGTGGTCTCACTGATCCATTTACTGATGTTCCAATAAACAATTAATTACACTAAGCTATTCGTCAATCATGAAGATCATTAATGAGCTTTTGTTGCAGTTTGAATTTAAAAACTAAGTTGACATTGTAATGCTTTTGAAATTGATTTTGTTTTTAATTATTAAAAATCATATCAACCTAGTCAATGAGATTTTATTCTTAATTCTGTAAATTATGTTCTCCATAGGGCGCAAACACTAGATCAATAGACCACAAATTGTACAAAGAATTACTGAAATTATTCAAATTGCTTTGTTTTCTGTCGCAATGGTTTCACTGACTAAGTGTGTGCACTCTAATATTAGAGTGAAAACACTTAACTCATGAGACAAAATCTAATAGTCAAGATGTAATAGTCCAAGAGACTCAAAAGAAAACAATGGAATTAGAGATAACTGAGGTGTATTAGTCTAATGTCTATTTCACGGGTTTGTGGAAACTACTCTATTTATAACATATACTTTCAAATTTTGACATCCCAAATGTTTCCAACTGTGTCTGTGGTCCAGCTGTCACCGTCTTCACATCAGTCCAACCTCGTAAAAACCACATTGCTTTAATTGTTTTTGTTCATCTTTCTAATGCATTCTTGCAGCACTCGCCTTTCTGATAGAAATTGCTAGTTTAAAACCTTTTCGTACATTCGAGACCACATGAGGCGATCATGTAACAATTAACTTTTTTTTACCAGTAGTGGTTTTGGTTGTCAATTAAACACCATGTCAATGAGTTACATAAACAATCATTATAGCGGCATATCTATAATTTCGCCTCTATCGTGAATGGCTTACTTACTCGAGTAGAACGGCAAAGCCTATCCAAATGATTCATTCGTTTGTCCTTCAAATGTAAATTTTAAAATGTAACGTGTAAAGTTGCGCGTGTAGGGATCAATAAATCTATTGATCCTAAATAGTAATTCATACTTCCATCTGCGCATTTACAAGTTTGATGAATGCTGAAGAGGTGACGTCTTAACTAAGTTTCAGTCGTTCTCAGACTGCAAATCCTCGACTTTCTCTCTTGCGTTTTAATATCTGAGAAAAAAAAATCCTTAACTTTGAAGTGCTCAAATAAATAACACTCAATCAGATCAATTTGTCGTAAGAGTTAAGATAACAAACACTTAAAGTATACACACAAACTCCAAAAAAAAATCCGTCTCGCCCTTTAATATGCGATAAAAAAAACCTTAACATTGAAGTGCTCGCAAAACATACACGAAATCGAGTTAAATAAATAACACTCGGTCAGATCAGACTGTTAGTCATAAGAGTGAAGGTAACAAACGATTTAGAGAAATGTATAGTTGTTGAAAATATTTTCAATAAAGTTTTATTCTATTCCATTTGTAGTATACATGACTCTTCAAGACAATAAAGCTAAAGCAAGTAATTAGCGTCGTTCACAAGGTGCGATTTTTTAAAAATTGAAAAGCCATTCATATTGAAATTTAGAACACTTCACTTTCCTGTTTCCTCAGCAAACAGTTTGTAACCATTCAGAATCCAGTTTTAAAACAAAAGTCGTAGAACGGTATAAAAGACCCCACATATTTCAGTTTCTCCACCCGATCGTTCAGTCACGATCTCGCTCTCGCTTAACAAATCAAAATTCAGAATTCAATGCAACGCTGTCTAAGATGTCTGTCAACTGCATTGTTTGCTAAGAGATAGTTAGACCAAGACAACAAGCCCATCAGTGCGATGGCTGTAATCTATGGAACCATCGTACCTGCAACACAGGTACGTTATAATTTCCGTTTTGTTTTCCTGTTGTTAGTTTACGTATTGCTTGGACACGTTTTATTTACTTTTTACTGATTGTATGAATGTTTTACAGGTATATCCCGGCAAGACTACTGGGTAGCAGTCCATGAGAAGAGAGACGTAGAGTGGCGTTGCCCGTCTTGCGCTCCTCCACAATTTGAGAGCACAAGAATTGAAGACCCGTTTGAAGATGTTGCCATTCCCTCGCTACCACTGCCAGACGTTTTCACTCCACCGCTGTTCGAAAGTCCACATTAGGAGAGCTCCCAAGCAGACCTACCCGTGGGAGGGAAGACCAAACTAGTAATGAATACCAGATATACTTTTAATATCCGTAAGAGAAGAACAAACGGTACTGGTGACTGGTAGTGCACCGTACACCACAAAGACTTGCGCTGCAAAGCCTCAGTTACACAATGTGACGATGCGTTTCATCCAGGACTTCACCCACACAACCACCCAGGCGAAGTTGGTTCGCTTACCGCGACAAAAATCCAGTCTCGTGTGAAACAGACATGTCATGGCATACTTTTTGCTTCTTGCCGTAAAAAAAAAATTGACGGTTTAGGTAGGAAAAAGAAAAAGAATAAGAAATCATATTGTCACATGCCTTATTTGAGTTTTATAATTACTAATAAGCCAACTAATTGTATTGTATCTTTTTACCACAAATGGCACGCGAAAACTTATTTAAACCAGCATCCGCCATCATCAACAAGGTGTTACTTGACGAAATCCTGGACGACGACCCCTGTCCAGCGATCGCAAAACTTGAAAACATGGCTCGGGCCGCCAACAGGCTAAGACAACAGCTTAGACCAGAAGATCCTACAGACCTGCAGTTCAAACTTTCCAAAGAAAGTGGGTTAACAGTTCCGCTTGACCCTCTAACTGCTGCTCCGTCTTTATGCTTCCTGTCAGGACAAATAACGACATCGAGGGGTGGCAGCACCTTAAACAGAAGATCAGGCAACAAGGTGCACCTTCCGTTCTACCTGTTGGTGGAGCTGTTACATCAAGAGTCCCACGGCGACGGGAAGCTGTCCAGGATCCAGCGAAAGAAATACTGGCAACTCCAGGAACGTGTCTTCAAACACTGGGAAGACTTCAACTGCAAGGAGATTTCAGCTCGGCGGCTGTTGAAACTATGCAGCTAACTCAATGGACCAGTTGGGAGATCCGAAGATGTGCCAATTTATTTACCTTGATTAAAGTTTACATTTGATTTTCTAAGGGGCAGGTGTCAATCAGACACTCACACGTCCCCGCATGTAATAAGACTATTAGAAGTACCAATTTATTTACCTTAATTAAAGTTGATATTTGATTTGGTTGAAACAGGGTTGTTCGAATCGTAAGTATCTTCATTTCTTTCTGTCAATCGATTTCCGACATAACTCGGGATTACTGGCAAGATAATGTTTTAGGTCTCTGCTCCCTGTAAACAATGCCTAAAAATAGAACAATTAGTATATACATTGACGACATTATACTGGTCATGGCTGGTCCAGTCAATTTTCATAGACCTCAGTTCTATAGTCGATTCCACTCCCGATAACTCGAGCCTCCAAGGGAAATTAGCAAAAGGTTCGAGTTATTGGAAGTTCGAGCTATCGCGGGTAAAATTGTGTGGAAATTCCTTAAATGGCAAAAGAAAATTTGTACAACTTAGCGCAAGGTTTGAGTTAGCGAGGGTACGAGTTATCAGGAGTCGACTCATATTATTATTATTGCTAGTAATGTATCGTAGTCGCTGAGAGAACGAATGAGAACTTGACCAGGTCGATGGATTTATAGTTGGCCTATTAGTTCTCTACGAGTAAAATGTTCTTTCTATATTGTTGAAAATGGAAACCGGTCGTTTTGGATTAAGATCATCAGCTTTAATTGTATGCAACTGTGTCAATAACTCAGTTCATAGTTTGGCTAGTGGCGACTCAACTTCTTGGTGGCGAGATGGTTGGTGGCGTGTTGAATTCCTGGTGGCGACTTCGTTGGTGACGAGATGACTTGGTGGCGAGGTGACCGTAAATCCTCTGCGTGATACACTTGACAAGAAGATCGATCTGCCACATCTTATCAAATTGCATTTCTCATTGAATTTTGGTTGAAAGCAACCCTCAGTTATAGAACGTCTGCCAGATGTCCGTTTGCCGGTCTAGTTACAATAGGTATTTTAAATTACGTGTTTCTTTCTTTAGTTTTTAACGAGATTCTCTCCAGTCGAAATTAATTAGTATGGGGTTGGCTGACTCTAACTGAAATTCTCTTCTTTCAAATGCAGATATTTGATTCCAGCCCAAATGGTTACATGTGGAAAAGTAATGAACGTGTGCCAGGTAGCTGGCTGTCATACTAATCTTTGCCGGGAAGAAATCGAGGCACATGACAGCTGCTCTACTTTCCGTCATCTTGACCTAATGGAGCAGGAAAGATCAAAGACTTTGTGGGAAGCAATCATGGTATATTAAGATGCTTTTTATTAATTATAACCCAAACCGTCAAACCTGGACGCAACAATGGAGTTTTATTACGTACAATTACGACGCTTTGATTTGTTTTCCGGATGTAATCTTATTGAATGTATTTCCTCCGCAGAATCGTTTCATTGTCGTACCTATTAGAGGGGAAGAAAAAGCAGTCTTCACTTGGAGGATTCCGCCAGACATGCACGGCTCATTTGGCTCATTCACCAATTTTCCCGAAATTTAATAGGAAGTGGAAATTGCTATTGGACGTCAGATTCACCGACTACATCCAAGGGGTGGATCCCATTTCATTGCTAGCAAGGTAATTGTTTTGAATTGTAATTTTACGACTGGGGAAATATGTGGATTTGGATGAAGATCGAAAGTGAAAATATGTCATAAATTTTTCCTTCCAAAATTTACAGAGTGCTAAGTGAAACGAAATAATCTGTGTAAACCGTGTAACCATCCTTGCGTAGGAACTATAATGAAATGTATTCCTGACTTGACAGATTGCTGAAAAATAATTATTTCGCCCAGTACAAGACAGAGTGAAACTTGAAAATCAGGTTAAAGCACCTAAGAACTGAGTCATGGAATGTCTTGAAAACCGTGTGATAAAATCTCTAATAACTAAGGTTTCGAATGTTTCAGAGAACCGCGATATCCAATCGCTTAAAAATCAAGATTTGAAATAAGAAAAACCGAAAAAAAGACAAAAACCCGAACTAAAAGAGATCATAAAAAAGCTGATCCCATGGCGCATAATACCTTTCAGGAGAAATTTGGTTATGTTGTGTCTTAGAACCAGTTAATCGCAATACCCTAGGTCACTGGATGCCTCATAACGCATAACGGCACAGTTGTCAAACGTTCCAAAAAGTAATGAGTTAAAGTAAATATTGTTTTCTTTCTTCAACAGCTGCGCTGTCTTTGCTAATGAACAGACAATCGAGGCCTATAGGGAGATTTCTCCCTAGAGGATTTACCTCAAAGAGGGCGAGCACTTTGATGTTTCTTTGATCGGAAGAAAATCGGTGGAGGCCATCACGATAACAATGGAAGTGGTGAAGCCACAGGTCGGTGATAGGCGTTAGCTAGGGCGGTTATAAATAAAAAAATTTTAAAAAATTTTGTTAATGTTGCTGTTTAGTCACCGGGTCTAATCTTTCGTACATTCATGTTTTGTTCTAGTAACTCATCAATAAATTTTGATGAACATGTAATTTTTGCCTTTGGGTGATTAATCATTCTGAGTTATTTTAGCCTGTTTCAAGCTCTAACTCACTTGGCGGGCAAGCGACGAACGACTGTTGTGTTTGTTTAAGGGAAACGGCTGCATGAGCCCACCATTTTCGTTCTTTTGCTCATTTCCATTTACCGAGAGCCTTAACAGAGGTTAGGGTTGTTTAGTTCCCTCTCGCTTTGACTAAAAAGCTTTTTGTGTTTAATCGCTACCCATAAACTGTTGTAATCTTTATTCCAACGACAGTCTTTCAGTTGTTCTGTCCCTGCAACTTACATTACGTTTTTAACCTTAACCCATAGTCAGGATTGGGTAATTTGCGCACCTGCTGCCTTCCTTGGATGTGGTAGCCGTTTCTCAGGCTCCCTATCCGGAATCGAACCCTAATTCTCCGTCACCCGTTGCAACCATGGTAAGCCACTACCTTACAATCGACAGTTGATAGGGCAGATATTTGAATGAAACATCACCAGCGCACAGGCCGTGCGATTCGATCAGTTACTATGATTCACTTCAACACAGGACAACACCCGCATTGGTTTTTACTCTAATAAATACATCCCTTCCGCAGATAGTCGGGACTTTTCGCATGTATAAACTCTAGAATTACTACGGTTATCCAAGTAATAAGGATACAATCAAATAAACGATAACTGATTTGATGAGCCATTCGCAGTTTCACAGTACTAGTTCTTATACTTAGACATGCATGGCTTAATCTTTGAGACAAGCATATGACTACTGGCAGGATCAACCAAGTAGCTATCCGCACGGAGACGTCCCCGAAGACCCTCGGCCGAACGAGGGCACGCTCCAGCCACAAGCCTCTTACCGTAGCGGATGAGGCTGGCACTTTCCGATCACTTCTGCACTTTCTGCGCTTTCTGCACTCAGCGAAAGGGCACAAACGGAGAAGAGCACAAAACGGCCTCTCCTTCGACCCAACGCAAGCAGAGCTTCTATGCCACGTCTTTCTGTGTACCCAGTGCGATTCCTAAAGCATGCTGTTTGAACACGACCTACAAGTCCGCAGGATGTAGGAACGCACGTCAGCGAACGAACGCTCGCCTTCCTTCCAACAATACTAAGCACATATCTGACCAAAGGCCATCATGTTCTTCGATCTCTAGGAAAAAATTGTTCTATTCCTATCAGCAATCTGGCTGCACGACCAAAAACCTCACCAACTGCTTCAGTAGTACTCCAGGGCGCTTGCAGATGAAAAGGGGAACCGTAACTTTGATGAACAGGGCTTGCTGACTCGCCGGTTTCCTTGCTCGCAACCGAGCTAACGAGCCGAACTGTCCCTATGTAGGATTTCAACGTCTTTTTCTCCAAACAGCTGAGGACACTGAGAAAAAATTTGCAAAGATAAAAAATATTGGCGTCTGGTCATGCTTTGCTGTGCTCTGTGGTTTTCCTTGTTGTTCAGTCGGCGCTGTTTAACTTTTGCCCCCAAAAGCTATCCCTTGCTCACAACCTTTTCAGCTTCGCTTCGTTTGAGCCAGGTTATGTCTCTGTTAATTTTATTACCTCCATGGCCGTTACGGTAGACGTGAAAGCAAGAGAAATCTCGATTCAGCTGGAAGGCTTCCCTCGTGGAAGAAAGCGAGACCTCAGAACTACTTTCAAATTTGGCAACCCTGGACAGTTAATTATACTGATGAACTATTTTGTTGCTGCCGATGTAGGATTTCAATGTCTTTTTGTCATTAAAGTGCCATGCAGAACGGTCACGTTTTCCAGAGCTCCGTCCTTAATCTGTATTTATACTTGTGTTTTCTTACTTGCGTGTACTTAAATAGTACTACAAGACCTAAGCTCTATTCTGCTAATTCTGGAGATGTCTTTAACTCGATTTGCCATCATCCATTCGACAGACCATTTATTTTAGGACAGTACTTCCTAGTGTCTTATACGGAATACTAGTATGGGGTTCCTGCTCACCTGCACTAATGGATGATCTTGAGCGTGCTCATATACGAGCTTCTAAACTTATTTTTAAACTTTCAAGGACTTCGAATGCTGATCAATTGAATAAATTGAAAGGCTGGAACAATTTATCATTTTTTTTATACTAAGAGACTGTTAGTAGAAGTCTATAAATCTTACTATAGATGCAATACCAATGTTTTAAATGATCTAGTAATGTTAAAACAATCATCTCACTGCCTGAGGAAATCCATGAATATCAAATTTCCAAGTCCTAAATCAGAAATTGGCAGGCTGACTTTTAGGCATAGGGCTGCCATTGCATGGAATTCACTTCCTGATTCGATCAAAAAGTCTTCTAGCTTAGAATGTTTTAAAAAAAGACTTAGATCTAGTGAGGACTTAATTAATTCTATAAGTTATAATAAGGAATCTTCCATGATAAGAAATAGGAATGAGGAATTTCTTTATTAATCTTATCTTAATCTAATCATATCTAAATTTTAAAATTTTAACAATTATTTCATCTAGTTCTTAACTATATTTTTAATTGTAGTCCATAGTCCTACATATTTATATTTGTATTATTATTATTATTTATTATTCAATTTCTGTTGATTTTCTATTTATTCACATGTATATACATTGGTTTTTATATAGTAGATAGGCAGGTCCACATCAGGACTTCAGTCTTGCCTATTCTGTAACCTACGTTATCAAATAAACTATGTATGTATGTATGACAAACATTGTGTCAGGCGAAGAAGTTTTGGAAAACAGAGTTTCGACCTCATTTGCATCAGGAACCAAGATCTCCGCGTGCACGATCAGGAGAAAATTTCTTCAACAAAGACTACTCTATTTTCCTAATGGGACCGAACGTTTTGACCCAGTGATATTACAGATCATCCTTGGTGGCAATGTTCACCCACAGCCCGGCCCAAACTCAAAAGAAAAGCAAAATTTTCAGCCTAGACAAAATACCAAGGTAAATTATTATTCAACTGAGTCCGTGTCCATGGTCGGCCAACATGCAAGTTCGTGCATCAAGATTGCTCATTTGAATATTCGTTCGTTAAAGTCGCGCGAACACTTTCTTCTTCTACAACATACTATGGAGGAACATGACTTCGATATATTTACTATATCAGAGACTTGGCTCGACTCGTCGGTTGATAGTCAAGTAATGCGAATCCCGGGATTTGCATTCTTCCACCAAGATCGGGGAGAACATAAATCCGGAGGCCTTGCAGTATACATCAAAGATACATTTAGAGCAACACTTCTAAAGGATGTCTCGGGAATTAGCGACGAAAAATTTCCCGCAGCTCTGGATAAAAGTCCAAGTTCGACAATGCAAATCAATTCTTATTTGCACTGTTTATAGACCACCTAGCACTGCGTTAATTTTCAGCGATAGTATGTCAAGTAGTTTACTGGATATGTTATTGCTTGGTGATGATATCATCATCCTAGGTGACCTAAATTGTAACATTCTCGATGAGACAGCGGATAGTCGAACCTTGAAAGAACTTTGTGCTACTTTCAACTTGACACAATTGGTGAAGGAACCGACTGGAATTACAGGAACAAAGAGCTCTACTGCCTATAAAACAAACTTGATAACAAGGGAACAAGGCTTTGATAATGAAAGTGGTCCTAGGGAGGAAAGTATGGAAAACGAACTACCTGCTGAATAAGAAGGATTTGAGTTTCAATACATAAAAGAAACTGATGTCAAGTCTGTTATTAAGAGTTTAGCCGCCGACAAAGCGCCAGGATATGATAAAATCTCTGCTCGAGTCCTGAAAGACAGCTGTGAGAGCATCGCACCTGTGATCTCCAGACTGGTGAATAGTTCGTTTCAAATGGCTGCCTTTCCCAGAGCACAGAAAATTGCTGAAGTGATACCTGTACCCAAAGAAGGCAATTCAGAAGAACCGGCCAACAACAGACCGATATCATTGTTACCCATTCTATCGAAAATTTGTGAGAGACTGGCACACAAGCAGTTTCTGGAATTTCTAACAACGAAGGATAAACTGTCGCCCAAGCAAAAAAGTGGCAATAGGAAAATGAATTCAACAGAAACTGCCCTTATAAATGTTTCAGAAAACCTCTTGAAAGCAATTGACGAAAAATCGGCCTCGTTACTTGTACTGCTTGATATGTCAAAAGCTTTTGACGGTCTTAATCATAATTTATTATTAGAAAAACTACGAAAAACTTGGCCTCAAAGATTCAGCAGTTTCCTGGTTTAGCAGCTACCTATCCAGTAGATATCAAAGGGTACGATACGAAGACTCAGTCTCAGAAATGCTACCTTTAACAAACGGAGTACCTCAGGGATCAATCCTGGGTCCGGTGCTTTTTAAAATTTATATCAATGACTTAATTAGTGCTATTACTCACAGTCATACTGCCGCGTATGTCGATGATAGTCAAATTTCCTGTATCAGATTCATCAAGTGCTATGGCAGCCGTAAACCAAGATCTTTCGAATATTACTAAATGGTGCGCAACAAATGCTCTGTTTATAAACCTTGACAAGACAAAATTAGTGGTTGTTGGCTCAGCACAACTTATTAAGAGGCTTCCTCCTATTTCATTATCTTTGTTAGGCAAAACTATCCCACCAGTTCCGTTTGCCAAGGATCTAGGGGTATATATTGACCAATATCCTCCCTATGATGTACACTTCACCAAGACAGCCTCTAATTGCATGAACCAGTTAGTACACATTAGAAGAATTAAACATCTCTTAAACAAGAAACAACTTTTATTACTTATAAATAGCTTTGTTTTCAGTAAATTGTTTTATTGTTCCTTAGTGTGGGGGAACACATCTAAACGTAATCTACACAAACTACAGTTGGTGCAGAATTTTGCAGCCAGAGTTGTATTAAGATTATGGAAGTTTGAACATATCTCTCTGGGTCGGAGATCACTTGGATGGTTAGATGTTACAGAGAAAATTTTATTTAATGACTTGGTTTTAGCATTAAAATGTGTTAACAGATTATTTAATTAGATATTTTGTCAAACGTTCAGCAGTCCACAATGGGAATTCAAGGGGCTGTAATAGTTTTGTGGTTCCCTGATGTAGACTGTCAACAGAATAAAGGAGGTTTTACTTCCAGGGCCCAAGGGAAGGGAATGGGCTAGCTGAGAATATTAAGAATGTAAAAGAAACTGATAGTTTTAAGAAGACTCTTTTTAAAAATGTTTTATAAGAAATAACTTTAGTTTAAATTGTTATTGTAAATAAGTTTAGTTAGTTTATTTTGACTGAAAAGCCCTGTTGAAGGGAGTTCCAATAAAGTTTGTATGTATGTATGTAAATTTTGATGCAAGCAGGTGATACATCTCTAAACCTTGGTTCAGTAAACCACACTAAGCGTCCTTCGTGCTCATTTTGCCTTGAGACAATCCGAGGGAACCAAAGTGAAGCTTCGTTCCTAGGGAGAACAGAACTGATGCCATCCTGGTGGCCGACACTCAGAAGTCACACTGTTCCTCTCTGTCACTTCATGCTGGTCCCAACGCCTTTGTGCAGAGCCTGGAGGGAACCCCACGCCTCCAACTCCATTACACGGAGGAGGAAGCCCGCCGTAGCATCAGGGCCTACGTGACCACACTCCTAGGTTCCCTTCGGTGCCGCACGGACGTCCAAGTGGCAGGGGGGAAGGGGATGCTTCTGAGGTATGTAACATCCCACGTCACAAAGATGCATGATGCGTCCACCAGCAAAGGGCTCCGACACCTGGATGAGAGCACCATGCCGCCCAACATCAGGCACTTCGTACAGGCAGTCCACCTGTGTCCTGACAGATGGGGCAGTTGTGACCAGATCAGGAGCCAGTTTGAGCACAAAGGTCACCGCTCCATCTTTCTAACGACCATCGTGGCCTTTGTGCTCTCTCTGCATGACATCCTTCACTTGTGGTGCCTGCAGGTGGTGGACGGCAGGATAGGCTGTCTTCACGCCCAACCTGTGGATCAACTGTACCCACTTTTGCCACATCAGGAGGCCATGTTTAATGATGTTGTGGACAGCCTGGCCCAACGCCGGAGGTTCCTGGACTGATCTGCTGAGAACGTCTCTTCCTCCAGCGACAACTGGTCCAAGTACTGTCTGCTCTTGGGAAAACCTGGGACTGGGAAGTCGCAGATAGCAATCCAGGCCATCCATTATGCCATCAGCCAGGAGTTCAAAGTACTTCTGGTAGCCCCTGTGGTGCTCCTGGCACAGGACTAGAGCCATCTTTGGCCCAGATTTACATGCCAAGACCATCCACATGGCTTTCCACATCCAGGTGGACCCAGAGCAGGTTGCAGATGTCAACTTCGCCTTGAATGGCTACGACTTGGTTGTCCTGGATGAAGCATCCCTCGTCTCCCATTGTACCTTCTCCTTGGTGGCCAGCACTCTGAACTGCCTGAACCGTCCCATTGTTCTGGTGGCTGGAGACAAGTGCCAACAGCAGCCCCTCCAGACCGTGGATGGCAAAGTGTCTAACACCATCTCCATTTTAAGCAACGGCACATTCACTGGCATCAACTCAATCAATCAAGCATGCACTGTACCGGCAGTTCAGAGTGGTGGACCCGCACTACAGCTGCTTTCTAGATCTGATGCGCTACATGCAGCCCACTCAGGCTCAAGTGGACGAGTTCCAGGAGGCGGTCGTCCTCCACCCAGCTGCCCCCTGGAAGACGAGGAGATATTCACGGCCTTCAGCCACAAGCATTGATCATGACAGTTTCTAAAGCCACGGGCCAACGTGTCGATGCCCTAATGCTGAGGAAGCTCTTCTACGGCCGACGACCTCTCAGCACCATCCCCTTTGGCCAATGGTGAAGCCATCCTCCCGCACAAAGGAATGCAAATCATCATAACGGAAAACCGTGACAAGGGCTGCAGGATTGTCAATGGACAGGATGCGACCCTTGTCCACAGCCATGGGAAAACAGTGGTGGTAGAGTTCCCAGAAAAGGAACGGGTCTTTATTCATCCTGTAACCCATGCCATGGACGGAGAGGGTGACTTGACAACCTACCCTTTTATGCCGGCCTATGCAAGAACAATCTGCAAGTCACAGGGGCAGAACCTGAAACACCTGTTGCTCTGGCTGGACTGCCCCACTGTGCCTGCCGGCCTGGCTTATGTCGCCCTCTCCCGGGTCCACAGGAACACAGACCTTTCAGTCCATGGATGCCAGTCAAATGATGGACCTGTCAGTCCATACAGCCCATGGACACCAGTCAAATGATGCCTGTGGGCTCTCCAAGTTAAAGTCATCTCCCATTTCATAACTAGATTCTCTCTCTGTCTGTCTCACGTTGGTGCCCTCTTCTTCTTCTCTCGCATGCAAGACACAGGATGCTCCACAAATACTAAGGGAACCGTACATGTGTTAAACTCAAGTTTCAGAAACAAACATTTCTTTTGTCTCGTTGTATGGCATGTCTTCAATGGTGCCTTCTTTGCCTTCGCTCGCATGCAAGCCACAGGATACTCCACAAATGCTAAGGGAACTGTACATGTGTTAAGCTCGAGTTTCAGCAACGAAGATTCGTTTTCTCTCGTGGCATCGCGTGTCTTCAATGGTGCCCTCTTCTCTTTCCCTCGGATGCCAGCCATAGGAGTCTCCACAAATGGTAAGGAAACCGTACATGTGCTAGGCTCAAGTTTCAAGTCTCGAGTTTCAGCAACAAACATAACTTTTGTCTCGTTGCATGGCATGTCTTTTAAGGTGCCCTCTTCGCCTTCCCTCGCATGCAAGCCACAGGATGCCGCACAAACACTAAGAGAACTGTGCATGTGCTAAGCTCCACTCTCAAGTCTCGAGTTTTAGCAAAGAATATCCCTTCTTCCTTTGAAGTACTGTATATTTGGTCTCTAGATCGTTTGCAGAGAGGAGACTTTACTGATGTTTTTTCCTGCAGATGTTGCAGCTGAATGCATCCTCCGCCTCAGGAAATATGTCCATTGGTAGAAAGACCAGCTACAACCGGCACTTCCCGAGGAGTTTTCTGCTCAAATATGGGCCAGCTCTTCAAGACCCAACAGACAATGCCATCCTCAACAGGCTGCACAGCTGGAACTGCGAGTGGTTGTCGCGACTGAACATCGCCATTTCTGAGCTTGCTATGACAACCAAGGACAATATGCCTTTAATAAGGCAGTTCCATGGGACACTCTTTTGTGACCAATTTCTGGACGATCTCTTGTCCTCGTTTGACCACCTCCTACCTGCCTTGTCGAGGTTGGACAATAAGGACAAGACAGACCAGACGCCCCCCAGCAGGGAAGATGTGGTCAGCCTCCTCAGGAACCTTGATCAAGATACAGACCTACGTCAGTGTATCATGGACGGCTTCAATGCGGCTGGCCTGCTTATGATGCTCGTGACCCAGGTGCTGGCCATCCAAACACTGATGAGGAATGCTGAGGACTTTGCTGACAAAGTCAGCAAGGAAGCTCAGCACCAGCCCTTCAAAGAGGACCCTAGTCCGAGGGGCATGAGGAGTTACATCCTCAACTCAATCACGAAGAAAAGGAGAAACATGAGGATGACACTGAGGAGCCGTCGAGGTCAGGGTCTGGCAGGTGCAAGCAGCAGCACGCCTGGGATGAAAACTGGAGTCAGGAACAGCCCAGTGCTGCACAACGCCAATGCCGGAATGGTGGCAAGAGAGCCACCAGCCTGCCAGACTTTGATGAAGATGAGGAGGACAGCAATAGGCAAGTGTTCACCCAAAAAGACCCAAAGATTCCAAACAAGCTGCCTCACACCTCCACGCCAATATCAAGCTTGTCTGACAGCTCTAGTGAAGAAGATGAAGGAAGAGCGGCAGCACTAGCCATGAACAAAAGTCCAAAGCCAGTGCCTACTGCTGCCACCGCCAACTCCAAAGTGGCAGCAGCAGCAGCAAATAGCAAGGCTGATGGTAGGGTAACCACTGCTAAAGTCATCAGTATGAAAGTTACGGATTTTAGCTCATTAATGAATGTTACGGATTTCAACCCGTCGCTGAAACTTACGGAATTCAAATCGTCTTTCAAAGTTACGGATGCATGTTGAACCTTCACATTGTCTTCATCTTGTGTTGAGACAGCGACTGCCCAGGAGGCCAACTGAACACTAACTTTGCGAGCAACACTAAGATGCAAGGCTTGTTTCGCCTTTTTGTAGTTTTTGCGACTGCCTAGGAGGCCAATTGAACGCTAACTTTGCGAAAAATGCTAAGATGCAAGGCTTGTTTCGTCTTTTTGTAGTTTTTGTGACTCCCCACGAGGCCAATTGAACACTAACTTTGCGAAAAACACTAAGATGTGACGCTTGTTTTATTTTTTTGAAGGCAACCTTTCTCTGTTTGGTTCTGATTTTTGTCAGTCTTCCCAGCGAGACTTCTAACGTTGACAACAATTGGCTTTACAGCGAGTGTAACACTTAGTTCGCATGTAATATCAAGAGTCTAGGGTTTTTGCTTTTCAAGCACTTGTAAAAAAATACGCGCTGGAAGTCGAGCTTTCAAGTCATGGTCTTGTAACAGTTTAAGTCAGTTTTTGAGCTCAGTTTTAAGTCAGTGTAACACTCAGTTCGGTTTCTCAGGAATAAAGTATAAGAAAACGAATTTGAAAAGTCTGGACACCTCACTGTAATTAGGTGATCTGCAACTGCAGCCATTTCACGTGTGAAGAGTAAACGCGTCAATAGCAACCTTTTTCGACACTTGCACTTTGCAGAAAATTCGCTTCGCAAATCACGATTTTGAAGTCATGGAAATATGCGGGAGTTCTTTAACATTCTTTAACCATTTAATCGGTAGTAGCGATAAGCAGTGTGTACAAAGGGCAGGGACGTAATCAACGCGAGCTGATGACTCGTGCTTACTAGGAATCCTCGTTCAAGATCAATAATTGCAAGGATCTATCCCCAGCACGACAATGTTTGTCAGATTACCTGCACCTTTCAGCAAAGGATGCACTCTCTGACCTTGTCAGTATAGCGCGCATGCGGCCCAGAACATCTAAGGGCATAACAGACCTGTTATCGCCTTCCTGACTTTGGTTGCATACCAACAGTCCCTCTAAGTCTGTCTATCTGTCTCGCTTTTTCACATATTGATTCATAGAATATTGTCCAGCGAGACATAATACACAAGTTTCTGTCAAGCAGCCAACATCGGGTCAAAGGGAGATAGAACTTTTGACACAGGTTAGCAATGCACACGTTCATATGCTCAGAAAATCATGTAGTCTTTCTCCTTGCAAGGAGAAGCATGGTGGCCTATACCTACCATAGGGGTTTCCCTATATTTTAAGCTTTTTTTTTTTTAAATAACATTCTTGTTTAATTTGTTTCATTTATTCATTCTATTTATTTTGTTTTTTGTTTTAAGACATACTCTTTTAATTTCTTTTTCTTATATTTTTATTGGATTTATTTTCATTTTTATTCATTTTCATTCCATTTTAAAACAATTTTTAATTTAAGTGAAATGAAGTCAAATAGAAATATTTTGTGTAAAATGAAACAAAGTCAACTGATATAAACTAACATGGTAATTGAAATTAAATCAAAATGAATTAAAATAAAATGAAACATCACTGTGGCCTAAAACTGCCATCATCCTAGACAGCAGTGCAACAGTGAACCTGTGACTCCCCCACAACCAAACTGCCAGAACCTAAATTGGGTACAAAGCGCAGTTTCGCCAAGTACCAAACATGTATTTCCGACAATGTCTGTCCATCTTGCATATGATAAAGCTCGGAAAGCTGGCCAAGCCAAATGAATCAGTTACTGTACTAGAGGTTTATTCTTTCAATGTGGAGAACATTGCCTGGTCAGTTCTTCCTCAGAGGGTAGAGTATGTAATTAATAACGATGTGCTAGGAAGCAGAGGATTTAGGCAAGCCTTCAAGGCAAAAAGTTCTTCCACTAACTTTAACACCTCTGTGGGTTGTAAAGACATATTTACCAAAAGCTGCCAAGAAGATCACTGAAGACATCAAGATAACATTAGAAGAAAACACAAATAAAGTTGTGCAAATGCAAGCTCTTGCAAAGAACATTGCTGAGCAACTTCGCAAGAAAGTCCAGGAACTTAACCTTTCAAAGGAGTTTGGGGAAGCATTAGGGTACAAAGACATTTACCTTGCCAAACTAAACAGTGACTGTTTCACTCTGGAGGAGTTTATTGAAGGGAAATTTCAAAAATACATGAACAATACTGGTGAAGTTTGTGTACCAAGTAATGATGTCATTACGCAAAAGGCAGAGTGCTTCTCCAGTTTTTCTTATGAAATTTCAAACTTGCAGCACCTTGTGGTTGACATATAGGGCAGTGGCCATATGTTCTACGACCCTGAAATTGCCACATCACCGCTGTTTGATGGTAACAATGAATTTCTTTTTTGTGCAGGGAACCTCAATGTTCTTACAATAGATTCTTTTGTAAAGGCACATGCTTGCAATAGATTCTGTCCCTTACTTGGTTTAAGGAAGCTCAAGGAAGAATCTGAAAATGCATGAGAGGAATCAAAGGGATCTATTCCTTGCTTTGTTTTGGATGTTTTGAATTTCTCTTTTGTGCACGGAACCTTAATGTTTTTTCTTCTTGCAAAGATATTTTTGTAAAGGCACATGCATGCAATAGATTTTACTTCTTGCTTGGTTTAGGGCAGTTTAATTAAAAACTGGAATTCATAAAAGGAATGAGGGAGATTTTTGTTTTATTGTTAACGAGAATATTTCAAGCCATAAAGTTCCAGGCTGCACTGAAGAACGTGCACTAGCATTAGCGGTAGCTGGATTAAAGTATTCAGTCAACCTCAAGCAAGTGGTATCATGTGTAAATAGTAAATAGTAAAGTAAATAATTTCTCATCAGAACTTCCCATTGTCCATGCTATTTCTAACAAAAACCAAGTAAGGCATGGCAGAGTTAACACTGATATATTGTGCATTTGTTGTGTTATGTTAGAGGTTTTTGTTAAAGAATATTAGTTGGGCTAGGAGGAAAAAAAATTAAGGTTTAACCTTAAATGGATTGTATGTTCCAATTAAACACAAGTTGTTGTTTGAATACACTAAGGCAACACTAATATTACAAGATGTTGTTAGCCCCTTGGGAGGTTTCAGCAAGGGGCGGGCTTCATGTTATCCAGCTGTTTCAATACAGTTTAATTTCTTTCATAAATTTTCATGAAAGCCAACCCTTGTTACAAGAACCTTGGAAACATTGATTGAAAGATTGTATAGTTAATTACACGATGTACTAAAAATGTTGAAGCAAAACTACATGTATCAAAGTTGAAAGTTGTCCCTGAGATAACGGAATGCATGAGCACAGTCATTGACATCAAATGCCAAAGGGTCATGAAGTATCTGTGGTATGATATGCTAGTTACCAGGCTCCCAGCCTTTGTTTATATTGCCTCGTGTTGATGTAATAAATTAGTTCTTGTACATAACAGCCATCTTGGATTATGTTCACAAGCTTGCGAGTGAGTTGGAGAACATAACATGGTGTCACGATAAGGGATAAAATGGACCAACTTCCAACACCAAAGCTGCTAACATTCGAAGGAAATGAAGCAGAAAATTGGAGACGATGGATCCAGAAATTTCCGGTATTTCTGAACGCAACGGACATCGATAGGAAACCACAGCAACAGCAATGTTCTACCTTGCTAATAGTTGCCGGAGTAGAGGCATTGAAAATCTTCAATATGTTTGGTCTCAGTGAAGAAGAGCGGGTGAAGGTAGAAGTAGTGATTAGTAAGTTTGAGGAATACTGTACACCTAAAAAGAACGTGACCTAGGAGCGACATGTGTTCAACACGAGGGCACAAGGAGCAACCGAACGAATTGACGCCTACGAAGAGCACAACCTTCACCTAGAGGAACTGTTGGAAAGATCAAGGAAAGTTGGATTGAAGCTCAACAGAGGCAAAATGAAAATCAAGGTCTCCCAAGTATCACACATTGGCCACACACTGACAGCAAATGGATTGAAATCAGATCCTAGCAAAGTGCGAGCAGTGGAGGAAATGCCATCCCCAAAAGACAAGTCAGCACTTTTAAGGTTCTTTGGAATAGTGAATTACATGAGTAAATTCATACCTTGTTAAAGAGATATTTCGTTACATGTTGCGTTACTCGCGCTTAGTTATACATTAAGTTGTCATTCGAGACCTTTGACACTTTAAATAGCAGTCTAGTTCGTTCGGATCGTCATCGTAGAGAATTAAAGTTTGGGACAGTCAACTATTCTGTCGTTTTGTCTATACCGTATTCGAACGTTGTAAAATCGATTACAACATACCTAACCAAGCAGACCTTACCCAGCCCCTCAGAGAGCACAAGGATGTGGAATGGCATTGGCTGGAAAGGCAGGAGAAAGCATTTCAAGCTATTAAACATAACCTAACAAGTGATGCAGTATTCCAGTATTATGGTGTTGACAAGCCCACGACAGTATCAGTAGATGCATCATCCTATGGACTTGGAGCGAGGTCCCTATGACGAAAGAGCTGCTGACTTATCTCTCTGAGACACAAAGTATGATATATTTGCATCGTCAATAATATCATATCATATATGTGATACAAATATAGAGATCAGAAGTACCTTTCACAATGCAACTAGAGTAGTTCTTTTTTCAGGGTTCCATGTTGCAGAGGTGGCACATGACTTTGTATTGCAGCTAAAAACACGCATCTTGTCAAAAGTAATGCTTCATTCCTTTGACTCTAGGCATGGTACTCAGTATACACTTGTATTTTTTGGCTCATTTTATCTTGAAGATTGTGACTATTTTTTAGTGTTAGCCTTTTTGTTTATTTTCAGGTGCAAAGTCTGTGACTAAAGCAATAAAGAAAGTTGCCTCGGGACCACAGAGGGATGAGGGCTCAAAGTGGTTTTTTGAATTGTCCGACAAAGGTAAGATATCTTTCTTATGAGAGTCATCAAAAGCTATCTTCACTCTACAATTATCTGCTGATGTCAAATTCCTTCTTTAGATAAGATGAATACAATGGTATATACTAATTGTGAATACTTTTCAGTGAAAAGTACAAGGACTCAAGTGTACTTTTGCATGATTGTACAGGGTACACTGTTGGATGTAGTTAACCATTATCAAGTAATTTTAATGACTGTTTATTGAGAACAGCATTTTGTTTTCATTTTTAATTTACCCTTTGTTGTGTAATTCTTGTAGGATATGACATAACTCATTACCTCAAAGATTGCACACATTTCTTTAATAATGGTGAACAAGAGACATTTATAACTGTTTAAATAAATTTAAATTTCTATTTATTGCTACTGATTTATTAATATATTTTTCTATAACTTTGTGCATTTATTACTCAGGGAAATCATGTCAGATGCCGTGCAGAGTCACGGTGAAAGCAGAATGGCTATGTGATGAGCAAAAAACTTTTAACTAAACCTGAAGCAATAGCTACATACAGGAAAGCCATTATGGACACTTCAATTTATAGACATACATCAGACTACATGCGGGTAATTAATTGACACATCCTGGCGTTGTAGTATAGACAATATCTTCTCGTCCAGCGATCAGTGCAAATGATCTAGTGAATAATCTATACTAATGCAGTCCAATGGCAAAAAATTATAAATTACAGTCATATTAAGATGTATGTGAAAATATTTATAAGAACTTTCTCATTAAAACAACACTGTAGCTTAAATTTGGTCTTCTTTATTTTACTTAAAGTGTTTCTTACATTTGCCGAGCACCTACCATTTGATTCGCCTTAAAATTTCGTAAGAATGCTGTTTAAGCCATAGCAACAATTGGGTTGGGCCCCAATTGCATAAAGTAGAAAGTAGGCCAAAATATGCACAAAGTGCCCTAGAATACCATCAAAACTTCCCTGAAAACAGAGTGTGCATCCTGCCAACACCTCGGCCAAGTGGGAGAAAGATTGGCCCCTTGGTTTGAAGCAGTTTATATTGTTTTTAACTCCTCGATTTGTGTTAGCATCTCAAAAAATTGTCCAAGCACGATACCATTTAACCTTAATTTTTTTTTCATAGCTGATAATGCTCCCTTGTTATACCATATGAATAATAGAAATATAGTCAAACATTGAAGAAAATACTTTTGTATTAAAATACTTTTGGTTTTTGGTATATTGGTATTACATTTTAGGACCTTCAGCCAGAGACTACAATAGAGCTGAAAGAGAGGTCTTTCTGTGGTAGCCATCTCTAAAAGAACAAAGTTGCAGTGTACAACATCGAAAAAATAAAGAACACAAAGATTCTCCAAGTGTTTCTCAAGTTAAAGAAATGCTAGTACAATTTAAGGATTATGTCGTGTAACAGATCACATTGAGTCAACAAATTGCAATTATTTATTCACATATATTTCGGTTCATCAATGACACCTCGTTGATCACAGCATTTGCATCAATTAACGAAAACTTAAGCACCAGTGTCTCAGCACTAACTGGTGCTTCTACAACTTCAAGCGACAATGAAGATGAGACTATGGTGGACTCACGACAGCAATGCTATGCCATATCACCGTGTGAGTAATTATTGTTGTAGAAGTTTTTCTTCGGCAGTAAATTGTTGATTCCCTCACAGGGTTTCAAGATTCCAAGTTATCCCTTGTTATTGACATTTCAATAAATTTATAAAGTGCAGAAACCAGCATTGGTTTCCAAAAATAGAAATAGTTTAGTGCTAAATTAATTCATTTCCACACCGGGCCTAAAAAGTTATCGTATTAAACTCGAAAGCCCCAAGGAAAGAATACTCATTTCGGGATCTCGATGAAGTGTTCGTGAAACCCCTTATGGCAAAATTTAAAGAAAATGAGGTCCCTTTTGGTCCGAAGCCACAGTTGGCGATACTAAAGAGGTTTCGATGCCAAACAAATTCAACAAAGACAAGCATGAGCTGCACAAATTGGAGGTAATTGGTGGCAACTACCAAAGAGTGGCCATGCAGTTTATGCAGACAAAAGATCTGGATAAGTACAAGTACACGGAAGGCATTTTGTTTAAAGGTTAGTTAAGCCTGAGTTTTATCTCCGCACAGGAGGTTTTTTAATGAAATACCAAGTAACATTTTATTTATTTATACGCAAGTGTGGATCTTTTGCAAAGATGCCGCAGAAAGACTTGCTTAAACTTGTATTCAAGCACAACCGGATGGACCGATTTCATCATGAGATGACTTCACAAGAAAAGGTACTTCTGCTCTTTTTAGGAATTTGTCTCATTTTGTATATGTTCTAGTCAGACTCTCATGCAGTCCAAATATACCAGGTCTTTTTTCCCTCATATAACTCGGACATGCCCAATTGATAACCACACCCCTCTAAAGGAGTATCATTATCATAGCTTTAAGTTTTAGGCTTTCTGATGGTAGCATTACAATGTACTGAAAACTGATTGTGATCTTTCTACTTTAGGTGTTTTCAACCTTAATAATTGTTTTTAATTCGAACCATGGCTACACGGTTCCTAAAGAGCCCTCTAATGTAAATCCAGAAGACCTTTACGAAATTTCCTCTAGAAAAACTTAGGTGAACTTAAAGATTATCTAAGTTTAAGAGGGTTACGTGTAACTGGCAAAAAAAGAGAGCTTGTCGCTTAAGCCTTTTCTGCTTGTGAACACAATGTTTGGGTTGTGGTATCCAATGAGTAGTTCAAGTTGAGACTCACATTTGAGTACCAGCAACAAATAAAGAGTCTTCCTAGTGACCCCAGGCTTATTGCAGAAGATGAATGGAGAAACAATATGACAACATGGCCAGCTTCAGGCCTTGGGACACTTATTTTGTCGAAGAATTTGACTCGCGTTATGTATGGAAGTAAAGCTTTGTAAAGCTTACTCCTATTTTGCCGGTGGATTCATGGGTATGGTATATTAACACACATTTGTTACTGCCAGAGAGCGCATTTTGAAATGCAAAGTTACACCATCCCAACAAGTCAGAGATGAGCCATGGTAGGTGTGGGTAGCCATTGATACAAATCGAGGAGGTGTCCTGTCTGCATGATGTAGCTGCACAGCAGGCTACTTCCAAAGTTGCAATCATGTTATGGCACTTTTTTACAAAGTGAAGCGTGCATTTTCTATGGGCTTCCCTAGTCCTTCATGTACATCTGTACCATGCAGATGGAATGACTACACCTTTAGAGAAGTTCATCCCAAGAAAATCAGTGGCTTAAAAATAAGAACTGATTCACACAACACAAACCAAAAAAAGGAGTGAAATCAACTCAGATTTCAAGAAAACTTTTGATCCTTGCAGTGAGTGTGAATGTGCTGTCACTGAAGAAACCAAAAATAGATTTCTTGCAAAATGGAAAAAAAAATTACTTATAAGTCAGTCACTTTTAGGGCTATCAAAGTCGAAGAAGAAAGTCATGAAGCACAAGACTTACCTCTTCCACTGAACCAGGTTGTGAAGAAATTTGCCTCAGAACACAATGGAGAAGGGGAGGTAACCATTGTGACAGGGTTTCTTGCGTCACTTCACTTAAGCCAGAATCAGTGTGATTCAATAGAAAAGGCCACTAGGGCTCAAAGACAATGTACAGAATGGGTACAGAAAAGGAAAGGAAGGATACGTGCCTCAAAATATCATGAGGTTCATACCAAAGTGAAAACAATTATGGCTGGACGCAAAAAAGTGGTCAAGACCAAACCCCTTATTGCCAGAATTGTTCATCACCAGTCCCTAAATGTTTCAGCTATGCAATGAGGGCAAGCACATGAGAAGGATGCTTTAGATGCTTTGGTAAAAACAGAGTGAACTAAGCATACCAACATGCACATTTTTGAAGTTGGCTTATTTGCAAAAAGGACCTCCCTTGCATTGGGGCAAGTCCTGATGCTATTGGCACCTGTGATTGCTGTGAAACATTTGTTGTTGAATGCAAATGTCCATACAGCATTAAAGATGAGAGGGTTTTTGACGCCTGGAATCAAACTGAGTTTTTACGGATGAATAGTGGTAGAGCATGTTTGTTAGTGACAAATACTAGTGGCAACCAAAGAAATTTACCAGAGCCCTTGAAACATGACTAACTCTTTCATTACTAAAGCAGCTGACCAGAAATGCTGTTAAGTTCCTTAGGCAACCAAAAGCCCCCAACAGGATTGGAATATTTTTTGATGTCTGTCCTATCCTTGAAGGCTGGTTTTCTTTCTCTTCATTAATGTCTTTTAGTTAAAAGAGATGTTGGCCTATCAATCCACCCTGCTGTGCTAATGATTATCAATCCTGTGTGGAAAAGAAAGAGGCTTGAGTTTGACTATTGCTTTGCCACGGGGTAAACATGCCAGAATATGCTCTTATTACTTGTGAGTTATTAAATGAGATATTTGAAAGATCATATGTTTACACCCTGCTCGTGAGAAGCATTGACAATGCAGTTCTTTTCCCTATAAGTGGTATCGATACAGTGCAGTCTCTGGAAAGTTGCATCAAGCCACCACAACTTCGACCATCAACAGAGATCAGTGTGAATGATGATATGTTGCCAATGGACTTCATTAGTATAGCAATGGTGGTAAATTTGAAAATTTTAGTGTAAATTGAAGTCTTTTAAGATGTATGTGTAAATGTTTATGATAACTTTTTCATTGACACAACTCTTAAGCTTTAATTCAGTCTTCTTTATTTTGCTGAAAGTGTTTCTAACAACACCTATGATTTGATTTGCCTTAAAAGTTTTTTAACAATCCTATTTAAGCCATAGGAACAATTAGGTAGGGTCCCATTTGCATAAAGTAGAAAATAGGCCAAAATATGCAATAAAGCCCTAGAATACCATCAAACTTTCTTAAAAACAGAGTGGGCATCCTGTCAAGACCTTGGCCAAGTGAGAGAAAGATTGGCCCCTTGGTTTGAAGCAGTTTATATTCTGTTTTAACCAATCGTTGAGTTTTAGCATCTCAAAACATTGTCCCAGCATTATACCGTTTAATCTCAATTTTTTTCCATAGCTGATAATGCCCCCTTGTTATACCATATCAATAATAGGAATATAGTCAAGCATGGAAGAAAATATTGTCAGTTGGGCTTTTGGTATATTGGTATTACACCTTGGGAACTTTGGACCTTCAGCCAGAGACTACAATAGAGCTGAAAGAGAGGTCTTTCTGAGGCAGCCTCTCTAAAAGAACAAAGTTGTGGTGTACAGCATCAAAAAAATAAAGAAGACAAAGATTCTCCAAGTGTTTCTTAAGTTAAAGAAATGCTGGTACGATTTAAGGATGATGTGGTGTAACAGATCAAATTGAGTTGGTTTTAAATTAATTTATTTCTACACAAGGCCTCAAAAAGTTGTTTTATTAAGTTTGAAAGCCCCAAGGAAAGATTACACACCTGGGGATCTCAATGTAGTGTCCGTGAAATCCCTTGGGCAGAATTTAAAGAAACTGAGGTCCCTTTCGGCCTAAAGCCACTGTTGGCAATAAGAAAAGGACTTCGACGCCAAAAGAATTCAACGAAGACAAGCTTAACTCGTACAAGTTGGAGGTGATTGGTGGCAACCACCAATGAGTGACATGCAGGCTATGCAGGCAGAAGATCTGTATAATATCAAGTTTAAGTGCACGGAAGTCGTTTCCTTTACCAGTTAGTTAAGCCTGAGCTTTGTCTCTGCACAGGATAAAAAGCAAAATTTTATTTATTTATGTGAAAGTATGGATCATTTTGCAGAGATGCCGAAGAAAGATGCGCTCAAACTTGCATTCCAGCACAACCAGAGTGACCAATGACATTATGAAACGACTTCATATGAAAAGGTACTTCTGCTCTTTTTAGGAACTTGTCTCATTTTGTAGGTGTTCTAGTCAGACTCTCATGCAGTCCAAATATACGAGGAGAAAGAAAGGTCTTTTTTTTCTTCCTTGTATTACTTATATTGTTTAACAATGTTGTTCTATTTCAATAAGATACAAATTTTTCCTTAGGCCTCTGTGCTGAATAAGACTCTAATCCCTCAATGGGTAATACAACCAGCATTAGTGATATATAGCCAAAGTGTAATTTATCATTTCTGTTATATTTTCTAAGGTAAGCTGTGCCATTCAATTTTAAAGATGAATTTAGGAGAATGAAGACAACTGAATGGAGAAACTCCAGCAGTTCAGTAACCAATTAAAAGGTAGACTTAATTAAGTCATAGTTAAGGGAAAAGTGATAAAAGCATCTAATTTCACCTTCTCTGTAGGAGCCTCTTGAATTCATATACCTTCTCTGCATTAGAACAAGTCTTCCTGATAAACGAAAATTTTTTAAATAAAAGTTTCAGCTCATCATGGTCTAGACAGAACAAGTTTGATCCAAGTAAGATCATCAAGCCACTGACATGTTACTCTTACAGAAAAGGTCACCTGATTTCTAGCTGCCTGGAAAAAAGTTGAGAGTGACGCAGAAACAAAATGTTGTGGGGCTTAAAAATAATGGCTTTATCGCAAAGCCATTGCCTTGAACTGCTGAAAGTGAAGATATACCTCCCTGAAATCCAAGGAAGAAGACTCAGTCAAGTCCTATGAGTAAAAATAGTGGCCGTGAGGGGCCAATACCTCAGACAAGGTCTGGAAACCAGTATTTGTTGACCATCATGTGTGTATCCACCAGATTTCCTGAAACCGTGCTTTTGAGAAATATCAAAGCAAAGGCTATAGTCAGAGCTTTAACCAAGTTCTTTACACTGGTAGGTCTTCCAAGTTCTGATCAAGGTTTCAATTTTGACACGTATATTTCAACAAGTGATGTTGAAATATCAGTCAGGTTGGAATCACAGTATCGGTCATCCACATGTCACCCTCAAAATCAAGGAGCTCTTGAAAGATGGCACCAAACACTAAAAAGCATGATATGGATCTACTGTTTTGAAACAGAGAAAGATTGGGACGAGTGTATCCATGTACTATTGTTTGCTGCACACAAGTCAGTACAAGAGTCCCAGGGATTCAGTCCATTCAAGCTTGTGTTTGGGCACACTGTGAGAGGACCTCTTAAACTTCTAGTCATGCCAACTTGCATACCATAGAACTTTCCAGAACATTTCATAAACTCATGTACTTATTACTTAATAGCACTAAAATAGTTCTTGTGCAAGCATCTGGGATGTTACAGAACACTTTGAAAATGTATATAAAGACTCACTTACGTAGCAGTAGGGGTTGTTGTTGTTGTTGTTGTCGGAGTGACAACTGTTTTGAAAGCTATACCGAGAGAGAGTTGCTGCAGAAGACTGCTCACTTCAAGGAATTTTGGAGACAGCAGTGAGATTGCATCAGTGGTGAGCTGGAATACAGACTGTGCTAGGATTAACAAAGTTTGCAAGATTGTAGTGTTTTTCTGTTGGTTAGATTATACCATAACAAGTGAGGAAATATTAAAGTCTACTTTAAGGCAGATATGCAGCCTGAACACAAGACTGAAGATGACTCAATACACCATTGTTGCATGAGAAAAAGATGAGTCTCCAACTCAAACCCTGATGGAATGCACCCTGGGAGGGAAGGCCTATATGATATATGTGGCATGGAGTAAGATGTCTGCCAAAGATAACTCTTTATTTGTGATTGTCATTTAGTTTTAGAAATTTCCAATTTCCGTTTTGTGTTAAGTATTGAATTAGGAATAAATAACAGGGCTCCATATGGCATAATACGTTGGAAACTCATACAGTCAAGGTATTACACAGCTATACACATAACATGTTAGGAAATTCCACACCTTGTAGTCCCTTATTTTCTGTACCATAGTACGGTTATTGAATGCCCAAAGGAACTGAGACATAACTACTAACTCAGAAATACCAATGGGTAATAACTAGTTTGTTTCTTGTTTTCATACGTTTCAGTAAGTTCCTGCCTAAAGCAATCCGTTCAAAGGAATGTAAACTTGTCATCTGTATATGATGACAAGAAGCCTGTTCCTGGTTTTAGGAGAGAAGCTATGCCCCTAGGCCATTCTGCATGCAAGGGATCAAGGTCCAAAGATAGCAACAATTAGATAAATTTCCCAGCAAGATGTGTTGTATTTAATGAAGATTTGTTATCACTTCGCCGAAAGAATTGTATAAGTGAAAGTTTAGAATTAATCCATATATCGAAAGGGTTCACTGGGGTTAACCGCTAGCTCTCAAAAGGCAAACAGATTTAGCCATTTGGCATAAAGATTGAAGTATTTTAACCATTTTTTGTTAAAAAATGTTTTGCTGAAAATGTTTTATTCTGGACATAATGGGAAGAAATTTACCATTAGCTATAAATTAATATTTAAAAAGAAATGTAACAGGTTGCCATGAAAGCAACTGCTTCCTTTTGATGCCTTCATTTATGAAATGCAGCCTTACATGACACCTATGAAATGTATTGTCCTGCCTAAGAATGTTTTCAAAGGAGTTACTTCATTACAACTACAACATTTTCTGAACATTTTCCAAGTTGATTTACCATTGCAAGTGGGAGAAGCAAGTGTTTCCATATACCCCAACCATCACCAAGTCTACGTAGCTGGCCACACAAGTGAAAAAGTGGTAAAGAATCTTGTAAAAGATGGAGAAAGGTCCACACAATGGTACAAGGACAATTTATTGCAAGTGAACTGTGACAAATATCAATGTATGCTGTTAGGATGTGAAAACTCTAAAGAAGAAAAATTGACTTTAATGTCAATCAATTAAGATTTTAGGTGTCACACTGATGAGAAACTAAACTCTGGTCTTGCCCTTTGGGGTCACCAATGGCATAGCCTGTTTCTAGAGAGATGATGAAGTTTGTAGATGAGGATAATCTTGGGACGAGCTTCCCTTACCTTGACAATGTTACTATTTGCGGCAAGGACCAAGAGGACTATGACACTAACATGGAACACTTTCTTGAAGCTGCTAAATGCAAGGACCTCTGTTATAACACTGAAAAGTGTCTTTTCTCAAGCTAGCGTCTCCCTATCTTCGGATACATCATTAAGGAGGGTACCATACGGCCGGATCCTGATTGTTTACGACCCCTGAGTGAACTCTCCGTTCCACACAACTCAAGGTCCATGAGCAGGTGTCTCGGATTATTCTCCTATTATTCCCAATGGATCCCAAGGTTCTCAGATCGGATCAAGCCAATTCCCTCTTGCAAGTCATTACCTCTGCCTCCACCAGCTGTTGAAGCCTTTGAAAGTCTCAAGAAGACAATAGAACATGCTGCTGTCACCACTATTGACAAGACCATTCCCTTTGAGGTCGAGACAGATGCGTCTGAAGTAGCACTAGCAGCCACTCTCAATCAGAATGGAAGACCTGTTTCCTTCTTCTCACGAACCATTTAAGGAAGCCTAGGCCATAATAGAAGCGGTGAGACATTGGAGACACTTCCTTACTGGGAGACACTTCATCCTGAAAACTGACCAGAAATCAGTGTGGTCTGTGCACGCTTTACTCTATAGTAGTATATAACGAACCCAAATACACAACAGTTATACAGAATCTTTTCTAACTTCTCATTTGAAACAAGAGGGAATTTATGTATACATAGCCAATGTGCGCCCTTTTATGAAAGTAAAAACAGACGAGGGAAAGGAATACTACAATCTCTGGTTTATTACTGAGGGCAGAGGGTCAAACCAGTGCAGTGTCCTTCAAGCTAAATGAAAATGAAAAGTATTCCCTAAAAGATTTACTTAACATTCAAGGTAAAGATAGTGTGACCAGTGGCCAATGTATCTGGGTTAAAAAACCTTGAGCAAAGACTAAATCATGCAAAGTCAACCGAACCTGGTAATCAAAAAAATGAAAAAACCCTCTCACAAATGCAGAAACCTTACACACTTCTCCCCACTATTTTGACCAAGATGTTTGCACTCCTGAAGACAGGAATCCAAAATATGAGAAATATCTCCATCAATTCACCAAAAAGACGTGCCGGTTAAAAACTGATGCACTGCAGTTATCTTGTCCCTGATCAAAACACTCCACTACACTTCCGAAGCTCACTCAGAACTGGATAATGAACCTTTTAATAAGGCTAAGACTGATACCATGAATACCAAAATACAAGAGATTGTTAGAGGCCATCCCAGCATCTCTAGCAAAGATGTGCTGAGGTTGTTATCCTTCAGTGATGCAGAAAGAGATTATGTAGAGAGCACGTCCTCTTTGCAGTGGCAACGTGAGGAATGGTATATTCATAAGATTGGTTTCATATCAGCTTCAAAGGGTAAAGGAGTCTTCACCAGGCATGAGGCCATTGAAAAAACTGAAAAAGATGTCAAAAAGTTGGTAGAAGATATTGTGCTACCCAAGTCACCACACAGTTGTGGTTAAAATCAGGAAGTGGAACCACAAAATCTTAAAGAGAGGGAATTTATCCTATGAGAGGAAAGTGCACCCAGGGCATATCAGCGAATTGCCAGCCATACCCATCACAAATTGGAACTGATCTCCAAAGGCTTTCTAATTTCAAAGAAAAAGCCCTTCCTCAGTGCTAGTGTGGACAATATTCAGAAATGTCAGTGCTCTGATGGTTGTCCAAACAAAGTTTTGGAACACAAATGCCCCTGGAAACAAAACAATATGCACCCTAAAGAAGTTTGCCTTACCCCTAAAATTGGTGACATTGTGAGCGAAAATGGGTTCACCTTGAAGCCCTCTTCCCAGTTCTACTTCCAACTTCAGCTTCAAATGTTTGTGAGTGAGCTGCCCTTGAATGTCTGGGTTGTGTGGACAGAACGAGGTGTGTTTACTTTCGAGGTGCCTTTCAATCCAAACTTCATGACTAAAGTGTGTTTGTTGTGAAATGTTTCCACCCAAAAATTTATTCCCTAGATTTATTATGAATTTTATTGTGTATTAAGTGAGTTGTAATTTCGTTACCGTTAAGGAACAGAGTCAACGTTACAATTAGAAGTAACAAGTAATTGGGAGCGGCAAAGGATAATCAAATTAGTTCAGCCAGCAGTGATGTATTAAATTAGGTATTTGCAGGGCGTTTAAGCGCGTAGGAACTTAGCAGCATGATTGTCAAGTAAAGCCATGTTTAATAGGAAATTAGTGCCTACGGATCGTTGTAGAACGTGAGTGAATCTTGAATCCCACACGGAACTACGCATCTGGGTGTGGATTTCCTCAGCTAATAAATGTAACATTTTTGTAACCCTAAGATTAGATTATAATAGAGTAGATAGATTGCAGAACGGAACGTGTAATGCTGAATTGTCGTCAATAAAGCCTGAATTAAGAGAAAATATACAGTCCAAGATTACTGAACCAACGTGTGCGGAATTCTCAGCAACGCAAGTGGGAAATTCTGCGAAAGTGTTCCAAGCTTGAGATGTTTCAGTCTCAACAGATTCTCTCTTTGGTGATGAATAACTTATGTAGCCTTTTTCTAATCAATTAATTTTTCATTTTTACTTTTTAACATTTTTCAGAGCTCTGATCCCCTCACAAAGATGGATAAATTATCAGGTCACTCTGCAAGAGATTTCCTTGACAGTGGTACTGACATGTTGTCATCTACTTTTTGTTCATGGACTCAACAGATGAACAGAGGGTTTGCTCATCTCTAAATAGCTGTAGTTCACAGACCATCAGATCTGCAGCTCAGCGGCCAAGTTATTCCTGCAGCAACATTATTTCTTCATGGAGTATGCTTTGGAGAAGATACTAGTATCAGCCCCTCTGCACAATCAGATCTTCATGAAGTTATATATTTGTCAACCCATGCAACAGGACAATTCCCCTGCTACATCTACTCCAGATTATGTTTAACTTTCTGGTCTTCAAATTTACAAGGCAGATGTGGCGAGTGTCCAACCAAGTGCTATGATCACTGACACAATACTTTTATTTTTGTTTGACTGAGTATAGGGCTGTGGCTACTGCATATTCCTCTGTTGATTTACCAGTTTGACGATTTTAGTTTGATATTCATTTCACATAAATAGATATTTTTTAATTTGATTTATTTATTTTCGTACAGTATACATTTTCTCAAATTCATTTTATAAATTTAATTTTAATTTTTTTCACTGATTAGTATTCCTAGTTGAGGGGCTTATGAGCCCTGTAGTATTCAATATTTATTTCCTATTTGCATTTAGCTTTAAATTTTTAACATCTCTCTATTTCTTAGCTAGTCTTAAGTCTTAGCTTAATCAGTTCTCAAACTGAAAGCACCCGAGGTACCAAACAACAATCGCCCCATGTCCCTATTACTTGCATTTTCCAAAGTATGAGAACAAGCCGCCCTGAACCAACTTACTGGATACATGGAGCGAAAGAAATGCTTATCCCAACATGAGAGTGGATACAAAAAGCTACCCTCAACAGAAACTTTAAACATCCTTCTATCGATTCAAGAAGAGAGATCACTTTAGTCTTCATCCAGCATTGACAGAGGTTAAGTAGTTAAAAATAGTTAATATTACCCATCCATCATCACCAAAATTGATACCCAATTAGCATTTGATTCTAAAAAAAATCTAGTTCATTTTTTCACTAAACTTTCTCACTGAAAAGTCATCTAAATTGTTCCCTCAAAATATTGGTGAATATTGTGTCTAAGATTCTACTGTACAACTAATTGTTTTTTTAATAGCTAAATGACTCTGGAAATTCTCTCTGAGAGTTTTGTTATCATTATCCCAGTTTTAGATCTTTCAAGTACATGATCATATCAGACTTCACAACCATTCAGCTGCGCTTTTGCTCTAAAAGTTATTAAACTTTGTCTCCACAATAGCAGATGCAGAAGGAGACGATGTGGAAATGTGTGTTCATTGTCAGCAAATGCCATGTATCATGACCAACAGCTGCAAATACCATGGCTATCGGGAAGCTCACATCCAAAATTATGTGCTACCTCAAAGAGATTACAACACATGCTAGAGATCATTGAAGAAGTGTGGGCTCTGAAAAGACCCGGTTTACCAAACTAGAAAGGTTGAACTTCGGGACCAGGTAAATGCAGGTAAGGAAGGGATACCCAATTGTGAATCCTTTCTTAATGCCTGGTAAAAAATGTTGATAGGCCAGCACAACTCCAGGTAGGCAATAAGGGTAATATGAACAATTTTCTCCCCACTTGCCCTTATCTAAACAAAAACACAGGCATGGTTGAAGATTAGTCCATTGAAACCAGAACAAATAGTTTCCCCCTTTATTGTCACAATTCCCTATAAGCTGCATTTTGATCCATCTATACTTGAATCTAAAACACAATTACAGAAGAAAAATAGCCAACAGTGAAGTAAAAGAATACCAAGATTAACACCTTTGACATTCAGATTCATTTTAGGCCAAAGCAATCAGTAATGACTCTTCTAGGTCCCTTGTTAGTGACACAAATACTTGTATAGCACCCACTAAAGCGGCTGACCAGAAATGCTGCTGAGTTCCTGAGTGGCCAAAAGTGGCCATCAGAATAGGACTATTTTAAGATGTCTGTCTCATCCCAGGTGGATGGTTTTATTTTTCTTCATTGTTCTGCTTTAGTTTAAGAGATATTGACCAGTCAAATCCACCCAACTGTGCCCATGATTATCAATCCTGTGTAGATTGTGGAGTAGCTTAAGATCGACTATTGCTTTGCCCTGTTGTAATCATGGCAGAACCTGCTCTCAATAGTTGCAATTGTGCAACCAGATATTTGAAAGTTCACACAAGGAAAGCAATAATTAAAGTTCTGATGGTTCTGATATTTACATTCAGTAAGGTGAAAAGAAGAAAGAGCACCATAAATGTGAGAATGAGAGGGACATGACTTCGATACCAGAGAGTATGGAGACTAATGAACTTAAGGGCCAACAGAGAATGAAATTTGACAATCTGAAAGCCCCTTGCAAGTGGACTTCTTTAACAAAATGTTTGGGTACTCTGTTAATGACAAAATTGTGATGCAAAAAAAAGATATATTTATGTATGCTCGTGAGAAGCTAGCCAATACGCTGCATCCTGGAAAGTGGAGGGACAGAATGAAAAGAAAGATGAAAGCGTACTTCAGCATTTTCATTTTTAAAGGCTTAACAAAGTTTCAGGAATTGCCATACCCTGGTATTAGGACCCCTTCATTAGAAATGCAGGCATTCGCAACATATTGGTGGAGAACCACCCAGAAGAACTGACCTACTATTCTCACTTTTCAAACTCTGAAAGAGAACCACCACCTTTTATATTGATAATTTTTTCACAAGCACCAATTTTCTGGAACACATACTTGCCCAAAATACATATGCATGTGGAACTATTTGTTCTTTTGGATGCAGTTCCATAGAAACAAACACAGTTATAACTTTGTTTACTTTAACCTATATAGTTACTTTTTACGGATTTATGTAGTATTCTTATTACAGAGGTGATCATTATCCTATATTCAATATTCATTAATTTTTTTAAATCTTTTAAAATATTTTTCATGGTGTAATTTGTAACTATTTAGCATGATATAGAATGTCTACATCAGCTTATCTTGTGTCAAGCTGTGCATGGTCATGATAGATGGGTAAGTTGGATCTCCAGTGCTGTCATGTAAAATGCAACCTCCTTGTTATGCCATACAAATTATAAGAATAAAGTCAAGCATGGAAGAAAATACTGTCAATCTGGTATTTGGTATTCAATATTGGTATGATGGTATGACACCTTAGGACCTTGAGCCAGAGAATACAGTAGAGCTGTTAGAGAAGGTCTGTTTGAGGCAGCTATCTCTCAGAGAAACAAAGTTGAGGTGGACAACATCGAAAAGAAAAAAAAAGAAAGACAAAGATTCTTAAAGTGATTCTCAAGTTTAGGAAATGTTGGTTCAATTTAAGGATGAAATGGTGTAACAGATGATGATTTATTAATTACTTATTCCCATATATTTTAATTCCACTGAAATTGAAGGGGGAGCAAATTTGATAACTTTGCCAGGCCCATAAAAGGAGGTGTGAAGAGCCACAGGTCCATAAACCAAGCTAACAATACTCCACCGACAGTGTCTGTGCAAGTTCACTATGAGGTGATTTATAAGTCACTTGGGAGTGTATTGCTGTTTGTTCTTTACAGAATGTAAGTTGTCTGAGTTTTTAATTGCTGGATTATTAAGGATGATCAATTGAGAACTTGAGCCTAAAGTATTCTTATTTAGAGCGGTACCATGGACAGGTAACTTTAGAAAGGGCAAGAGAAACAGTGAAATTTTGCAGCCATCTCTGTGCAAGTCTGCAGCACTCTTGCTCAAGAACACCTTTCCATGTTTAACAGCAATGCAGTTGATAACTATTATCATCTTGTATCATTTAGGAATACCTTGAGTATCAATCAGTTTGCATATAATTTTTTAAAGTACTCTATTAATCTACAATCAATTCATTATGAGAGTTTATTGTAGTCTTCATCCTGCATTGACAGAGGATCAGTAGCACGATCCAGGGTGGCAAAGCATGTTTACGAAAACCATATTGAGCAAAAAAATATATATTTCAAACAAAACACTTTAAAACTTATATATCCTGTTAGATATAGTTAACCTCTTTGTATTAAACCAAAAATCGTGGTAATAGAGGAAGAATTTATTTTTTTATGGATTTTAGTATTCAGAAAAGTGAGGCGAATTCTTATGTAACGCGTAACATAATCTGACAAAGCATCAAACATATTCAAAAATTTCTTACTTAAAAATTTAAAATTTCAAAATAATTTTGACTTAGAAATACACTAGAAACATAGACTTTTCAATAAAATAGTTAAAATTGGAACACTGAATTGTAATATTCGCGCTACGAAACAATTTTCTCGGCGACCGAACATGTAACGCTGTTTATACAATATTGTACTATACTTCATAGTCACCAAGATTTTGTCGCAAAAAAAGCTCAAATCAGTTTAAAAAAATACATACAATAATTCTCAGATGATTTATTTTCTGTATACAAATTTTTATTCCATTTAATTCAAAGACAGCGTAAAAAATCCAAAAAGTCTGAATCGCGAACACATAAAATGCATAGAAAATTTACCTTAAAATTATTTATCCTCATCTCCAAAAAGGTCTGTGATAGCCGCGCTTAAAATGAAATTGCTCTTCAACTAGCAGATCTGTCATTCTCAAATTCTAAACTTTCTATCGGTACCAAATGTTCACGAATCTAACTCAATTTAACATCTAAATTTATGTCTTTTTGAATCGCGAACATATTCGATCTTGGAACAGTATTGTTTGCATTGGTGTATCAGTTTACACGCGCAAAATAGTGGCAGTTTTAGAAATCTTCGCATCTAAACTTCGCTTCTTCCTCGCTTACAACAACCTTGTACATTACATCTAGAGGGGGTATACAACAATTAATTGATATACACCCATGAACAAACGATCGTTTGAGACTGGAAATTACTAGAGAACGTGACTTCCCTAGCGTGACTTCTTCCGTCGAGAATTTACACGCTTCGCTTGCGAAATATTCAATGGAAAACAAAAAATATTCTGCTGATCAATGGAGAAAAGAAAAAGAAGAAAAAAAGCTTAAACAACAAAGGGAATACTATGAAAGAAACAAAGAAGTTCTTGCACAAAAAGCAAGAGAAAGAATGCGCTTGCTTCGAAGCAAGAAAAAAAACGCGACAGTCGCCGCAGTGAAAACACGCACATCTGCACAAAAGGCTGATGACAAAAGAGCCAACCGTGAGCGGAATGCTGCATCAGCTACCAAGAAGAAGGTTTTGAAGCAAAGAGAAAAAGAGAGGGAAGAGAAAAAGCGACAGCAAACTCGAGAAAGGGTTCGAAAACTTCGTCAGAATAGAAAAGAGTCATCATTTGCGCAACCGAAACCTGAAGTCAACATCACCACACCAGCTTTTAGTTCAAGGATGGCAAAAAAACGTGCAAAGGACAAGGTGTCCCCTGCCTTACCTCAAACCCCCGCAAAAAAGGCTGAAATTCTTCAAAACCTTGCAAGTACTCCTCGCACAAGGAAGATTCTTGAAAAAAAGAAGTTCGTGAGACCAGTTGAGGAGCAACAAAATATCGAAAGCAATGGAGTGTTTGGTAGAAGATTTGGCAGAAGGATTGTCCAAAGTCAAAAAGCTAAGTCGACTGATGAAAGAGCAGCTTATAACTGTACGCGCTCTTTGGCTTTTGGATCTTCTGTCAAAAAAAACAAGCACCAAACACGGATTGCCAAGATGATGGGAGTAAAAAAAAAGCCAGGTGTCCAAAGCTATCAAACATAGAGAAAGAGTTTTGAAGGGGGTGATGAGGCCTGCTGGTTGAGCACAAAAAAAAATGTCAGGTGTGACGCGATTAAAGAAGAAGATAAGCGTGTTATCTACGATTTTTGGACCCTACAAGCAAGTCGACCCACTGGATCCAAAAGAGACAAGATGCGGCAACGAATTGGCAAAAGGAGTATGTGGAGCACGCAAAGCATATCCTTGAAAAGACTCAAACAGAGTGTTTCAAAGAATTCCAGGAGCTACATCCCGACATAAAAGTGAAACAACGAAGATTTGAGCAGTTGAAGCCTTTCTTTGTTACTGGAGCTAGAGAGAGAGATAGACAATCTTGCTTGTGTAGGAAGCATGTAGAATGCAAAATTGTATTTGATTCTTGCATGAAATATCGAAAATCCATACAAAATAATGAAGTTCAAGCCTTTAATTTTCTCACTGAAGCTGTGGAATCCACATTGTGTGAAAAGCCAGAAGACTCCAGCTATTCCTCTCTAGACTGCCTGACAAGGAGCTGTGACAAGTGTGGGGTGAAGAACTTCAAGACAGCAGCTGAAGAAATGTCTGAAACTGAAGTCAAGTGGAAACGATATGAATACATAACGTACAAAGATAACAATGGCGAGGAAAAAAGGAAAATCCACTTGGTCCAAAAAGAAACTCCTGTCAAAGAGATGTTTGACTATTTCCAGCAACTCCTGAAAGATTATCCCTACCATTCATTTATGGCCAAATGGCAAAAAGAACAGTTTGATCATTTAATGACAAACCTGCCTCTCAACCATATCATCTGTGTGCATGATTTTTCTGAGAATTACACTTGCAGATCACAAGATGAAATTCAATCAGAGTATTTCGATCCTGTGAAAGTCAGCATTCATGTGTCAATTGTCTATCGCCATGCTGATATTGACATTGATGGCAAAGCAAGTACAGAACAAGACCCTGTCCTCATCAAAGAGCACATCTTTGCCCTTTCAGAAGACAACACTCAAGACTACCATTTTGTACACCACACCCAAGGCCTAATACTGACGTACCTTAGGAATGAGGTCAAAGTGAAAGTAGACAAAGTTCATGAATTCACTGATGGGTGTGCTGGACAATACAAATCTAAGCACACTTTTGGTGATTTGTCATGTTCTTTGTCTGACTTTGGGTGTCAGGTGGACCGGCATTTCTTTGAAACCTCTCATGCAAAAGGAGAGCAAGATGCAGCAGGTGCTAATGTCAAACAACGTGCTACTCTTGCTGTGATTCGAAGAGAAGCATCCATCAAGTCTGCAAAGGAGCTCTATGAGTATCTGAAGGACAAGTTCTCTTTGCCATCTTCAACCAACAGCAAAACCACCTTAAACAAGAGAGTATACTTCTACATTCCACTAAATGGAGAAGGAGCTGTTGACAGAAACAGAATTGGCCGCACTTTTAAAGAGCTAAAAGGGATTAGAAAAATCCACTCTGTAAAAAAACAACTTCTCAGCAATGTAAGGTGAAGACAAGGCTAAGAAGCTGTATGTGCATTGGTTGTTTAACTGACATGGACTGTGAAAATGAGGAGTATGTTGATAAGTGGAGAGAGGTTGAGATGTCAAGAGAAGGAGATGTTGCAGTCACAAGGCAGAATCAAGACTCAGTCAATGTCAGTAAAACAGTCAATGCACTCACTGATCTTGTTGAAGAAGGAAGTACTGTCGCCATTGCAGCAGCTGATGACGCCATATATGATTACTACCTCTTCAAAGTTACAAGCAGTGGTGCCATAATTTTGGGTGAAGATGAAGTTGATGACTATAGTGCTGCTTATCAGAAAGGTTCCTTTGTCTTCAAGGGTAACTTTTTCCTAAGGGACAATATTATAGACATGACCTACAAGCTTGACAATAAACAAGCTATTGTGTATGCAAACACTGTCAGGACTATCTGTGGAGAACTCAAGAAATTAAATAGGCGTAGAAATGTATTATTCCAGCTTTTACCCAACCAGCATGAGGAAATTATGTCTTCTTTTTAGTTATGTAAATAAAACTGTGTTATTTCTAAACAGAATCGTGAATTTAAGCCTGCAAATGTGTAAATAGAATATATGACCACGCCTGCTATGCATTCTGGGTATTAAGTAATGAGGATAATTTAACAGATAACATCAAATATTTTCTCAAAAAGTAGTTCTTACAATAAAAGTTTATGAATAATCTATGTTTTGATGATTTTTTGGTAATTTTATGAAGTTGCTAGTTTTTCCCTAATGTTACGCATTTGTACCCCTGGATCTTGCAACTGATCAGAGGTAATTTATCTTGTCACTTTTCATAGTTAATTTTACCCATCTATTGTCACAAAAATTGATACTCAATTAGCATTTGATTCTAAAAAAAATCCAGTCATCTACATTTTTCCATTATAGTCTTGGCAAATATTGTTTCCCAGATCTTGCCCTATATATAATTATGTTTTTTATAGCTACATGACTATTTCATGCACACATATAGGTGTATCCCAACCAAGATGCCCACAAATTGATGGGACATTTTCTTTTCAAACCAAGTTATTGGAAAGAGAGTATTGTGCAGATTTTGAAATTTGGCAAGGCCTTCAAGCTTGTGCTTGCCACAAGTGCCTAGTAACTACATGAGCTTCCACCACAATTATGAAATGTTAGATGAGTTTGGAAAAGACTCTGCCACCTCTATCAAGAAGAAGGTACAGAATAATACACACCAGTTCAGGAAAACATTAAGTAAAAACTGAAGCACCATCTGCCATCAGCTCTCCTTTCATGAATAAAGGCCACTTACAACAATGTATCATTTTGACTGTGGACAAAGGAGAATATTAGGTATTGACAAATTTGACTTAAGGTACTCAGTATGACTGAGGTGCTTCATATATAAAGATTTCCAGTAGGTATCACACCTGTCTGTCAAAACCCATGTTTCAGGAAACCATTTGTGTTTGGGGGCCCACTTCAATCATTGCTTATGCAATTTTGGTGGCTCCTGTAAGAGCTATTTTTGCTCCTAGGCATAAAACTATATTTCTCTCTGTTGGGTGGCATTAAACTTTCTTTGATAAGAGACCTTTTAACCAACAGGGAATCTTCACTCCACTGCAAATCTGTAGTTATGTCAACTGCAGTTCCCCACAGGAGAAAACATACTACAATCTTGAGAAATTTGTGATAAAAGGAAAAAGTTACACAAGTCCAGTACCCCTGCTCCTGATCAAATATTTGGCTTCTAAGCAAGAAACAACCCCATGTACAAAGTAAACATTTCCTGTTGTTGCATGTAAAACTCTTTAGAAAATCTGATAGAAATGAATATAACAGTGCTTGAATGATACTAGAGTAAGATTGAACACAAGTTCAAGTTAGTAGATATGATTTCCTTACTATTATAGCTTCAATTATAGATAAAGATTCAAACTATTCTTGGTTTTCAATGTTAAAGAGTTTAAGTAAGGGGGTGTACATTAAGTGATACAAGCAACGTAAAAGAACTTCCGCAAAACTCCACTTACAGTATGTTTTATATTTAAAATTTGAAAATTCTGTCAGATCTTTTTAGTTGCAAAAGGCATTTGCAACCAGTGTTTGTTGTTTTGGTTGTTCTTATGATATAACAGATACCAAATAAGAGACGTGAGGCTAGAGGCAGTCATTTTTAACATTTTCATATTGTTAGAGGAAAGACAGCCTCTCCAATCTCCTGTATTTGCAACTCCTTTTGTCTACCTCAGTGTCACTGATAAGGTTAGTACTTTTGCAGACAATCTAATATGGCCATTTTCCCAAGAGTGTTATTTCTTTAGGTTAATGACATTCATTGTGGTTTTTATTCTCATTGAAGGTGTTAGAATGTTGCATTTCCATTCCCAAAACAGGTTTCTATTTAGTAATCTTCTTAAGGAAACATCACCTTTTGCTCCAGGTGATGTGCTTTTAAATTAGAAACATAGTACATCCACAGAGAGACAGTCTTGTATTATAATTGCAATAAAGCTAGCCTACTTGGCAAAAGTAATGTTAAATTAGCAGACTTGTCCATCTAGTTAAGTTCTCCACTGCAGGTGAAAGTTCAGTTAAGTCACAATAGGTACTTTAGTTATTTCTTAGTAATTAATATGAGTTGCTCTATTGCTCTGCTTACTGGCACATTTATATGAATGAATTTGCATTCTTGGAAGCTAACATTTAACATTCCAAAACTTACTGCATTCAATAGCTCCTCCACCTCTTGAAATGACAATCTTCCAAATGCTAAAGTTTCTTAAATATTGCTCATATTAACTTCCCTAAAAGTCCATGGTTATTGTTAAATTGAATCACCCATTGTAAATCAAACATGTTAAAGTTCATCTTGTGAATCTCATTTTAACCTTATGAGCTCTTGGATGATCTTACAGTGCTCAATACTGGCTAAGATTTGATTAAGAAATCTAAAAATTCTTTCTCAGAGTTTCTTTCTCATTATACCCAGTGTTAGATCTTTCAAGTACTGCTTCTAAGCTTCCTCTTACCAATTCACACACACCATCACAGAGAAATGTATTTCATGAGTGTAATGTAAGTTTGAATTGCAACTTACTTTATCAGTAGAGAGCAAACCCATACGTTCTTTTGCTTCTTTTAAAGTGAACCCAGCATGACATCTAAAAAACCGTTGATGGAATATCTTTTATATCTGTGACAAACACAAACAATCATAATTTTTTTTACTTTAAACTCTGTTACATTTTATGGATGCATGTGGGGTATTTTTATGATAGAACTGATCATTATCCCTTATTTATTATTTATTCATTTTTTGATTAATTTTTTTATGGTATAATTTGTAGCCATTTAAGATAGTATAGAATATCCACATCAGCTTATCCTACATCAAGCTGCACATGGTCATGATAGATAGGTAAGTCGGATCATGTGTACTATCATGTAGAGGCGATCCACATCAGGATTATCTCAAACAGGAAACTGAAGCAGGTCCAGCAGAAGCAGGTCAAGCAGAAGCAGTACAGAAACCTGCTGGCAATGCCATTTGACAGATGGGAGTAGTACAAGACAACAGAGTAGACCCTGCACAGCTGCCAAGAACCTGTTCTCATCTCAAAGGCCCAACCCAAGGGAACTTAACAACTCAACAAAAACCACAACAAAAAACAGCTCCTTTAGATGCCACCAAGTTTGCAAATGAAAACGAGCAACATTAACTTAATGTTATTGCCAACGAGCCAGCCGAGCGAAGACGCGAGGCTGGCGAGGCGGCAGCATTATAGAGCCGTGCGAGAGTATTGTACAGGCGGAAAAAATCTCGAGTGATTGTAAGATGTCTGTAAGGTAAGATTCCTGAGATTCCAATGACGTAATGTGAATAGGCTTTGTTTTGCAACGGACCAATGGTAGCGCGCAAAGATCGTGACGTCAAGTCCACATGGTGCTTATCGTGGACGCTTAGCAGCTTTGTCATTTATCGAGCGGAGGAGCGAGCAAGTTTGAGGTAAGAAAATTGTATTTTTCACCTACCTTTGTAAGTTTTATTTCCAATTCTGCGTGAGTGCACTTAAGTTAAGTGCCTTTGTGGTATAATTATCGAGTTAGCAAGCTCAGTAACCGGCCAGTGTGCCAAAGTCGGCCAGTGTGCCAAGTTGACGAGTGTGTCAAAGTCGGCAAGCGTGCCAAATGTAGACAACGCCAGCAGGCATAGAGCAATCAAAGAAACTGAGAAACCACCGAATTAAACAAAACAAAGCTCAAACAAACGATAATCGTAGCAAACTAGCGGCCAGTAAGCCAACTTTGACACCATTAGCGAGCAGAAAGCAATCAAAGTTGTAGCAAACTAGCGGCGGCGAACGAGCCACACGTGAGAGTGCCAAAGTCGGCAAGGGTGCCAAATCTAGACAACGCCAGCAGGCATAAAGCAATCAAAGAAAGTGAGAAACCGCTTGAAACTGTATTCAAACAAAACAAACGATAGTTTTAGCAAACTAGTGGCCAGTGAGGCAACTTTGTCACCATTAATAGCGAGCAGTTAGACAACGCCAGCAGGCATAAAGCAATCAAAGAAACTGAGAAACCGCTTGAAACTGTATTCAAACAAAACAAACGATAGTTTTAGCAAACTAGTGGCCAGTGAGGCAACTTTGTCACCATTAATAGCGAGCAGAAAGCAATTAAAGTTGTAGCAAACTAGCGGCGAGCTAGCCACGAAAAGAGTGCACTCGTCATTGGCCACTGAACCAACTTTGTCACCCCACAAACAAGCTGAAAACAATCGAAGCAACTGAGATTCAACTTAACTTAAGCTTGAGTTAAATTCAAAGGAAACCTAACGCGGCGGAAGTGCATTGGAGAGCGAGCAAGCTGCAATAATCAACTGTCAGCTCGATCAATTCTTTCGACTGTTATTAATATCAAGCGTATCACGAATTTTTGAAGCACAGACTTTTTGCCCACTAAAATACAAGGTACACCTAGAGCAATAAACCGCACAAAAGTTTGAAAATGATGTGGCTATTGTTTATGTTGCTACTCTTTCCCAATCGTACTGCCCACAATAATCTGTTAGAATTGGGGAGTGTGTGCCCAAAATGCAGCATGATCTATTTCAGATTTAGGGGGAGATACTTGTCAAGGCGAATAGCTTATCCTTCTAATGGTAGTTTTAATCCCTTCGTTATTTCAAACAAGGAGGCACACATTGTGAATGGGAACATAAATTCAGAAGTGTTGGAAGAAAAACGCAATGCAATATGTAATAGCACTGATAGTAATTCTACATACATGTGTGAAGGATCAAATGTAAGAGATCACTTTCGTAATTATTGTTTGACCAACGTAGGGAAGTTTTCTTGTGCAGTTGAATGCTTTCTTGAGCTATGTTATTTTGTTGTTCGCAATCATCTTCAAAACATTACATGCAATGATTTTTTCAAGTTATCTCTGAGGCGTGCAATCAAAGGGCAATTGTTGGTGCTGTTGATGTTGTGCGAGAGCCTATATGGTCACTGATCAGAGGTCGTTGCCCATCATTTTCTTCAATGACTGCAAATGCTGTTTTTAGTGACATATTTACCATGCAAGCATTTGGGGATTTAACCAGTGATTTGAAATCATTATTTCTTATTCAACAATGTAATCAGACTTGCTGCACCCTGTGTAACAATCAAATATTGAAAACTACTAGCACTATTGTCTTGTATATTACTTGTCCAAATATTCTGCCCACTGAATTTGAAAACTGTGTTTCAGAAGCTGCTTTGCCTAATAGCAGCCCACTTTTTTGTGATGCATGTCAAAGGCATTCTGGTGATATTTCAGGTTTGCAACATTTTGTTACCATGCCAAAATTTTTACACATTGAATTATCATCAATTTCTTTTGGTCAAACTGTTCTACCAGCAAGTATGGAACTCTTAGGTACATTTTACTTATTAAAAGCTGTTGTGCGGTGTGCAAGCCACCATTTCACTATTGCTATAAACAATGGTCGTTATTGGTTTTATTATGATGATCTCTGTTGTGCAGTTCAGCAATATGCTACATTTCAAGATATTTTGAATGTTTACGCCAATGGATGGTATTTTGCTGTTTATGAAAGCTCTGTTGATAACATTATTAATATACATCAAGGCATTGATTCCTGTACATTAATGCCAGACCATTCTTATTCAAAATTAGAGGATAAAGAACGCCAAGCCTGTGATGATTTTGGGAAAGAAGTTTGCACACCCAGAAAACGACAAAGACCAGAAACAAATACTGACAAATTGATAGATAGAAAAAGAAAGCTGAACTTAAATGTAGTAAATCCACATTTGAAGAATTACAAAATTGCTAAAAAAAGCCAAAGAGACAGAGAGTGAAAAACTTTCTAGACAAAAAAAAAAAAAAAAATATATGAGGGCATACAGAAGGAAAATAAAGGATTATGAGACAGGGAGGAGAAGCAAGCACGATTGATAAAACAAAATGTGCAAAAGTGGAACTCTAGACAGAAAAAGGAAGACAATACATTTGATGTAATTAAACCAGTAGGAAAATTTACAGCTAAAAAAAGCCAAAGAGACAGAGAGTGAAAAACTTTCTAGACAAAAAAAAAAACCAAAAAGAATATATGAGGGCATACAGAAGGAAAATAAAGGATTATGAGACAGGGGAGGAAAAGCAACACAATTGATAAAACAAACTGTGCAATTTAAGTGGAACTCTAGACAGAAAAAGGAAGACAATACATTTGATGTAATTAAACCAGTAGGAAAATTTACAGCATGGCAAAAAGTAGATAAACCACTGCATAATGTTGACAAAGAAGCATATTTATCTCAATTTGACAGTATAAACACTGGACCAATTCATGTACAGAAGTGGGCTATCAAAAACATGGAAGACTTTCATAATTCACTTAAATTCAAAATTTATATGTGTGAAGTTTGCCATGAGGCATGGCCATTATCATCAAAAGGCAAAAAGAGATCTCCTTATATGTGTTCAAGATGTTCACGTGACAAGAATGGAGTGAAAAAATTTTCATCTCAGAATGGAATGATTCCTTCACAAGTCCCAAATGAATTGCAAGGTTTAACACAATTAGAGGAAATGTTAATAGCTCGTGTTTTCCCAGTAATTTCTGTTTATACAAAACCAGGTGGACAAAAAGCATATAAAGGTCATTGTATTAACTTCTCTCAAGATATCCAAGAGTTAGCCAATTCATTGCCAAGAAACCTAAGTGAAATGCCAGTAATAGTTGTGTCAGTCAAAGGCAAAGATAATACTTATAAAGATCTCACTGTGAGACGTGAAAAGGTCAGCTGTGCTCTGCACTGGTTAGTTCAACATAACCCTGTATATAAGGATATCACTATTGATTATGAATTGTTGGCTTTCTTGCCTTCTGATGGCATTCCCACTGAGCTGCGTAAAATTTATTGTACTGAGAACAGTAAAGATGATGAAATTGATCCAGACAGAGGTCCTCTTGATGAAATACCTTTCAATGAAGACACAGAATTGAGTAGCACAATTCTTAACCCTGTACAACTAAAGCCACAGAAGCAGCTGATAAAAGATGAGTTATTACAAAACAGTAAAATCAATTGGCCTAATAGGAATTCAAGTCCTCTCAATGAGTTTAAAATTGAATATTTAGCTACTATGGCATTTCCTACTTTGTTCCCAGATGGTAAAGGAGATCCTACTAACAGTGCTACAATGCGTGATGTGACCCTTGGAGATAAAATAAAACATTTGATTAAATTTGCTGAATATAATAATGGTAAATGGGCTTATAGGTTTGCAAGTCACCCACGGTTTGCTTATTGGGCATTCAACATGATTCAGAGGCACAGACTCCTTAGTCAGGGAAATATTTTTTTAAAGCAAAACCCTGGTGAAGCTAAGTTAACTGTAGAACAACTTCAACAAATGCTTCAAACAAATACGTATTCTACTTTAATGTCAAAACTTATGCATTATGCTAAAAATGTTACTGGTAGCAATAGCTATTGGCACAAAGCTAAAGAGGATTTGCGAGCAACCATTGCTCAAGTAGGACCGCCTACTATATTTTTTTACTTTATCTTGTGCTGAGTACCATTGGCCTGAATTTCATGAACTCTTTTGTGACCCTCACTCTGAAACACTTCAACCAGCAATCAGGCAGCAAAATGTTCTTCTTCAAAATCCACATATCTTGGATTGGTTTTTTACTGAGCGAACAGATCGTTTTGTCAAGTTTTGGTTAAAAGAGTCATTAGGGGCTTCTTGGCATTGGTACAGATACGAGTATGCAGTTCAGAGAGGTTCAATTCATTGTCATGGAGTTGCAAAATTGAAAAATGATCCAGGACTTTGCGAACTGACAGAAATTGCATTGCAAGGTTTTTTAGCATCAAAGCATATCAATGAGAACAAAGGAAATTTGTCAGAAGAAGAAATATTAGAACTGGAGACTAAGATAAATCAAGGTATACAAGCAGAGTCTGTTGTTTGTCAGTATGTTGACTTTATACTAACAACTTGGAATCCATGTTCCCCAGAAGAAGGGTGGTCCAAACCAGATTCTCATCCATGTCAAACCCAGTATCTGTCTTTGAATGGCAAACAAAAAGAGGAAGACTATGTGAATTTATTAAACTCTGTTGAGAGACATACAATGTGCAGTACTAAGTATTGTCTAAGGGAAACTAGCAAAAATGAATTAGCCTGTAGATTCAAATTTCCTTTTGAAAATTGCCCAAAGACAAGAATAGATTTTGAACCAATAAACACTAAATCAGGCCAAACCAAGTATAGAGCAACCATTGTTACTAAGCGAAATGATTCAAGATTAAATCGTCACCAACCACTGCAGCTCCAAGGATGGAGGGCAAATTGTGATATTCAAATTATTATAGATTATGTGGCATGTTTGGAATATCTTGTGAAATACACATCAAAAGGAGAAAAAAGCTTCTTCAGTTCTAAATAATGCATTCACCAATGTAATTAGTAAAGCATCGGACGAAAGTGACATTCATAACATTTTGAAGCAAATTATGATCAAAAGTGTCGGACAACGAGATTATTCAATCCAAGAAGTTATGCATCATTTACTCTCACTCAAATGTGTAAGTGCAACACATGAAGTAATAAATACATCTCTTGATGGTTCACGAAGAGTACAGGTGTCCAAAAATAAGGATTTTTGTACAATCCCATCCATGTTGGATATTTATGCTGAACGAGAGAAGTTTATTAAGACATTTCCAGACATACTGACATATAATTTTTGCAATTTACCTCCACATTTGTAAGCAAAAACTCAAAACTGGAGAAAAGGAAGCAAGCTGTAATAGTTAAAACTTATCCCAAATTTTCTTCAAATCCTCAAAATCAGCAGTATGGGCTGTTCTGTAAATATCAACTGCTAAAATATAAACCTTGGCAACATGTAGCAGACAATGCATGGGACAATCTTGAACAGTGTGATGAAACTTATAAAGCATGTTGGATGAACTTTTTGTGTAGTGATTGTGGGAAGAACAGTGTTCCTGACTGGGAATTGCAATTGAGCAGCTTAAAAGCAGCCATTAATCTGGAAAATGAAAATGAAAACATGGAAATTATAGAGGAAGAAAAGGAAGAGTGGATGTTTATGTCAGAACTGAATTTACAGGAGTTGAGCACAGATACTGAATATAACTCGACGTTAGCTCCTGAAGGATATTGGCACAATGTTAGTGAACATTTTGACGATGTTGATCTACTTTCTGTTACTTCTTGGTTAAATACTCAGAAAAATAAAAATGAACCAAGTTGGCACATATCATCAAGAGTAATAGATATTTCAAGTTTTAGTAGCGATCAATTGTTGGCATACCATATCATTCTAAATCACTTCAACAGCAGTAATGAACTGCCTTTGCATCTACTTGTTAAAGGAATTGCAGGTTCAGGAAAAAGCTATGTTATTGATGCTGTAAGAAATGTTCTTAAGGAAAAATGTCAAGTACTAGCATATACTGGAAAGGCCTCTTTTTAATGTCAAGGGTGTAACACTGCATTCTTTCCTCAAACTACCAATTGGTTCAAAAAGACTCTTCGAATTGAAAGGAATAGCTTTGCAACAACTTCAAACTAATTTACAAAACATTCAGTATTTGATTATAGACGAATATTCATTTGTTGGCCAGAGCTTATTTGGGTGGATAGATTGTAGATGCAGGCAAGCTACAGGTTTAGCTGATCAAGCTTTTGGTGGTCTTTCTGTTATTCTGGTCGGTGATATAGCACAGTTATCCCCAGTTGGTGATAAACCACTTTTCCATTCTTTGCCAAAATCAGAAAAACAGATTCAGGGTCACCTCATATATAAAGAGTTCAAACAAGTCGTCACATTGTCAGTGAATCATAGAGTTGATGGCAAAACTAATGCCCACAGCTGCTTTAGAGATCTCCTCATTAGAGCACGAAATGGAGAATCCACTTTGGCAGATTGGCAGACATTGTTATCTAGAACTCCTGAAAATGTAACAAATATTGAAGAATTCCTAACATCATCTGTAAGGCTATCCTATCTGAAGGCAAAAGTTGCAGAAATGAACTTGATCAAATTAAAAAATCTAAACCAGCCAATAGCAACAATCAAAGCCCGTCATTCTGGTGGTGCTCAAACACTTAGCTCTGATGAAATGGGAGGATTAGAACCTGTCATATATTTAGCTAAAGGTGCTAGAGTTATGCTCACTATGAACATGTGGACAGAAGTTGGTCTTTGTAATGGTGCACTAGGAACTGTATTAGATTTTGTATATGCTGATGGGCAAACTCCTCCAGCCCTGCCTATTTGTGTTCTTGTACAGTTTGATGAACAATATAATGGACCTTCTTTAACTGCAAGTGTTCCAAGATGCGTTCCAATTTGTCCAATAACCCAAATTTCACAAAACATAGGTCACACATGTGAAAGACAACAACTTCCTTTAAAGCTAGCATGGGCTATGACTATTCACAAAAGCCAAGGTCTGACTCTTAAAAAAGCATGGATAGATCTCGGCCCTTCAGAGAATTCACCTGGTATGACATATGTGGCTCTTAGTAGAGTAAAAAGACTCCAAGATCTCATAATTGAGCCAATGACATTTGAAAGGTTGCAAGCTTACAAAAATCAAATTTTTTTGAAATATAGGTTAATTGAAGAAAAGAGACTTGATTCTTTATCTCTAAATGCTTCTAAAAATGGTCATCATGAGTAACTTTGACTTAATACAGTAAGCATGTTCTCCAAAAGCTAAACAAGACATCCAAATACCAATTATTGTGTTCCCCTGTTTTTCTTTGTTTGACTTGATTTAATTATTGTCTTTGAAAAGCCTCTGGAGGAAAGTCAATAAAATATGTATCTATGTGTGATGTATTTTTAATTTGTAAAACATTTTTGTTGCAGACGATGGCAAGCAAAAAGGACTTATTGTAAGTACTGAATATAATTATTTTATCTTATAAATACAGAATTCATGCCCCTTTAAGTAGTCTAAGACTAAACAGGGACAACTGGTGTCCCTGTTATTTTGCAGCAACTCAGCCCCTAGCACCTGACTACTGTATCTGTGAAAGGTAGAGGCAATTTTGTTCTTGGTTATTGTTGTTCACTCATAATAATGAGTACATGCTGACTCCTTTATATTTCAAGCTTTACCTGCAATGTGTCATTTTCTTGAAATATCCAACCCCCCAAATTATTTGACATTACCATGCCAATCAAACATAATTCTCTTATGCATATTCTAACCATCTTAATTGTTTACTTGCAGCAAACGACCATGGGTTTATTCACAACCTCAGTCCAATTAAGAAGTCCCTTAAGTCAAAGCATCAGTGGTATGAATTTCAGCTTCAAACTTCACCCACTAAAGTGAAACGTTTGGTAGGATTTAATCTCTATGTCCATGATTCCTTAAAACATTTTGAGGAAATCAAGAGCCCAGTACAGCTCAAGAACATTATTGTAAAAGACGACAATGAATGTATTTTCAATCAACAATCTGCCGTATATAAAGCAGGCTTGTCAGATGTATCATTTTGTTACACCGAGCAGCCAAAGCTTGAAAGTGCAGGTGAATCAAGTGCTGCAAAGTCAGTTACTGTGTCGAATGTAAAAGGTTTGCACCCAAACCAAAAAGTCAATGTCAGTGGTTCCCTCACTATGGGAAAAGAAGACCTCAAGGCTGTTGTTCTCAGATCCACTGGAGCAACAGCCCATGTGAAGGAAGATTGCGTGTTGGAGGACAACACTGGGTCATCAATGATTCACATTTGGGAACCCCTTGTCCATACCTTGACAACGGGTAAATCATACTGCTTCACCAACCTGACAGTAAAGAATTTCCAAGGGTCGACGTATCTAAGTACATCGCCAAACACAACAGCAAACCTTACAACACAAACAGTGCAAAACCCTGACTGGACCAGATATGCTCAAAAGTCCAGAAAAGGAAGTAACTGCTTCAGAATTCAATTTGGTGTCAAAGCTAAACATCTTTTGTTCCTGCAAAGTGTGCAAAAAACGCTTAAATGATGTTGAATCATTCACTTGCACCACACTGAAGTGTGAAAACTGTGGTACACGTCAAAGATCAAGAGATATCAAACTGCAGGCTTCAGCAAAAATTTCTATCACTGAATCAGAAGGTGACAACAGCAAAGAGATGTGGATCCAGGCTTTCACTGAGCAACTAGAAACCCTGCTGGCAGGATCAACCTTATCCCTAAAGGATAAAATCGATGACATTGAAGTTTATCTTATGTCTCTGGAAGACATTTGTTTGGTATACAATGTCCAAACAACAAACATTACAAAGATTCTCTCCTTTAAACGTCCAGAAGTACACTCTGATTAGCACATTGTCTGTGAACAGTCCAATACCCTTGTGTGATTGTCTCGGAGGACGTTGGAAAGTTAAAATTGTTGTTTAATACTGATGTAACATGTGTAGTCTCGGACTGGCCCATGCATCCCAAAGCTAAAAGATGTGCATCTGCTTTCCCAGGTGTTTGACTTTGAGGAACGTTATAGCAGTGAATGAAAAATATTTTGTTACAGTTTAGATTCATGTGTTAGAGATTTCGCTCTATACATCCCTTAATTAAGGATAAAATTAATGACGTTGAAGTTTATCTTATATTGTCTCGAAGAAAATATTTGTTTGGTCAACAATGTCCAAACAATGAACAATACAAAGTTCTTTCCTTTAAACGTCCAGAAGTAAACTCTGATTAGTTCATTCTGTGTGAACAGTCCAATAACATTGTGTGACTGTCTCGAACGATGTTGGAAAATTAAAATTATTGTTTAATACTGATGTAGCATGTGTTATCTCAGACTGGCCCATGCATCCCAAACTTAATAGTTGTGCTATCCCAGTTGAATGACTGTGAAGAAAAAATTTATTTAGTGATTCAGAAATATTTTGTTACAGTTCATATACAATTAAGAGTTGTTATTGTGGGTTCATTTTTGTTCTGTATTACCTTATATTATTCAGTTTTACACATAATTTTTAGAAAGGGAAGAAAACACACTTGGCTATCATTGCAGCACAAACTTTTGTATTGCAATAATGTAAAATCAAGAAACTTATTTTCGTTTTCACCATATTCACCTCAAAATTTAAAACATTTCACGTTGGTTGGAATACTTCACTACTAAAATTTACACCCACAAAACATGACTCCATTTTTTAACATTACCAATGAGTATTTCTTTTCATTGGTTGCTCGTTGGCACTTAGCGATAGCTATATCTAGTAGTATTTAAAGAGGAATTCGGACGAATTTAAAGGTTCAATAACAAATATGGCGGTCTGTGACAGAATCCGGAAAGACGCAACATCAACTGTCTGAATCCTTCAGGTAAATTCCCAGTCATTTATTTGACGATTATTTTTAACTAAAAGCTCTATTTAGGACGTTGGCGAACTTACATCTACGCGTTGGCAAAGCGACCATCATTCGTTAAAAATGGCGGATTTTCCCGCAGAAAGTTATGTTATTGCAACAACAGTATGCAACAGCCGACAGTTTAAAAATTGAGGTTATAGGTAATTATTTACAAAAGCAAAGCTGACTTCTTGCAATGAAGTAGTACGATTTTCTGACATCATTATCACTGTGTGGCAGGGTGCAATCATGCTTGAGTGGGATTTATTTTCGACTAAGTTCTGTGATCGTGAAAACAACCTCCATATCAAACTATGAAACGATAAAATATCCTAACTGCACGGTGAACGAAACAAACGGACTGTCAACACCTTGTGTTCACCTTTCTCACAAACCTGACCGCGCGAACATGTACGTCGATGACAAATAATCTAATAATTGAGACTGTTTCGGCAAATTCGAAGGATTGCATTTGGTTTGTGACGCTCACGCAACCGTTATCTTCAAATAAACCATATGCGCCGAAATCAGCAAGATCATTAAAACACCTTAAAGGAAAGGAAGCTTTGATTGAATGATGCAGTAGAAAAGCAGAAGGCTTTGAAACTTTAACACTACTAACGTAATGAAATGGTTCGCAAACCTTTAAGACGCAATCTTGAAATACGATGATGTATTTCTGGTGTGATAATTTTCCAGCTGCAAGCATTCCATGGAATCTCTTCCATAACTTCACGGAATTAAACCTACATTTAGGATATAAGAGTTGAGAAAAAATTATAAATAATCATTACAAAGATATTTCAAATAGCTAAAAAATAGATTTCGAAACTAACGAGGATCATGTTCTGAGTTCGACGCAATATTCTTTCACACCTACGTGTTGCCGCCGCATGATCGTGCAAAAAGAGTTATGAAGTAAGTAACGGAATTTCCTTTACAACATCTAACTTACCGTAACATCTTCAAGTCAAAAACTAGTTGTAGAATGTGAGGCCATTCCCGCGACAAGGTCAACGTGCACTGTTCGAAGGGATCTTGCGATCTGTCATCGTGTGTCACACCAACACGATCACGTGATTCCCTCCAGTTTTGGACGCGACACCACAATGTACGGTCAGCGGATATCATTAAAAAATATTGCTATAGTTAAAATTTAAAATTTGTGAGTGTCCGCTATCAGGGAAAGAGAGCCAGAGTTTGTGACTTACCAGCTGGAAAAAGGGAATAGTTAAAGAACTGGTTTCTTTTGATGATTTAAAGTTTGCAAAAATGTGATTTATATTTATTACTTTATTTTTCTGTTATGTGTTAGCAGCAATTAGAATTTTTTCACTAATAATCCCTGATCATGTGTCACACCAACACGATCACGTAACTCCCTCCAGTTTTGGACGCGACACCACAATATACGGTCAGCGGATATCATTAAAAAATATTGCTATAGTTAAAATTTAAAATTTGTGAGTGTCCGCTATCAGGGAAAGAGAGCCAGAGTTTGTGACTTACCAGCTGGAAAAAGGGGATAGTTAAAGAACTGGTTTCTTTTGATTATTTAAAGTTTGCAAAAATGTGATTTATATTTATTACTTTATTTTTCTGTTATGTGTTAGCAGCAACTGGAATTTTTTCACTGATAATCCCTGACATTCCTAACCTATGAAAATAGCAACAATGAACATTTAGTTTTGTATAAAAATATTTCTGCTAGTGCGGGAGAAATCTGTGATGCATAAAACATTTCTATTTGCCTAATAAAAAATAATAATAATAATAATAATAATAGTAATAATTTATTTCCTGATATATCTCAGATGTAATTAACATAGATATGAATATTGTTCCACAGACAATCTCAAGGCTGCTTAGGCAAGATTTAATGAGTTTCTCAGCTCTACAAATAATCCATCTAAAAATTGGGAGACCAGAATGGTGAATTTGTCATCCAGCTGGGATAATAACAGAAACCTGCTGCTAGGAGCTCTTCTTAATCTTGAGAGTCTCCCTTCACCTGATCATTGTCAGATATGTCTGGAAGAGAAAACACTTATAAGATGTCATGACTGCCCAAAGAAATTTTTCTGCCCTTCATGTGATGTAAATGTGCATTCTTTCTTGCCATTTCATAACAGAGATGGGTTTGTTGATGGTTTCTTTCAGGCTATCCCTCCAATGGTGATAATTGATAAAAATGGAGTAAAGCAAAACATAGGTAAGCAGATATCTAAAAGGAAGGACATCACTCCGAAGACAGCTACTATACATGTATTAAATTTGTGCTGACCATCATTGTTTTTCTTTGTTTAATATTGTATTTGTGATATTAATTTTGTTATATTCTCAGGGTTCTTGTTGAGTCTTTGGAGAATATACATACATGTATGAATTGAAAACCAAGTAGTGATAATTGTTAGTTTAGTGTTATATGGGTTGCTTTCTTTTAAGGTAGCTTACACTATACATGTATGTAGATTTTCAGTTAAATGAATATGAAATCCAGTAAAACATAGTAGTGCATTTTTTTCAGCCTGTTTTTTTTTCTGTTTTGCAAAATTAATGCATATATGTTTTCTTTGTTCCAGGATTATTTTATTTAAACAAGTCTACCATCCAATGTAGCCAGTGCAATTTTGTTTCTCCATCCTGGTCCCTAAGTGGTGTTGTACATGCAGGGTATTGGCCAGGAAGCCCCACAGATACAAGTTATGTCTTTGATCAGCAGCTTTTTCATCTGTGGGATACTTTTAAGAAGAGAATGCCTGGGACCTCAGAAAGCTCCTTTATCAGAGCTATTGAGGATGTTTCTGTTATGAAAGGAGGGGTATGAGTCCACTTCCTAAAATCAATAATAATCTCATTAACAATAATAATAATAATAATAATAATAGGGTGTTTAAAAATTATTATTTCAACAGGCACCAACCATTAATCATACCACATTCTCAAGGTCTTTTAAAGAGTGGAAGTTCTTGCAGTACGAGTTAGATTGTCATCAAGGGCTTGACTGGATGAAGTGCCTTTCTTGTTCAATTTTTCAGCACTCCTGCCATGTTGATGGAAACATGAAACTTTATCATTTCAAGACATCAGGAAGGTTTGTATTCACTGTATATAAAGGTGTATTGCTCAAATTATGGTAAAATGCTGATTTTCATGATGTGGATTATAAGTATGCAATGAGCATACATTCGTATCAGTTTTCAGAACACTTTTTTCCAGTAATCTGTGGCAGTAATTCAACATTTAATCAAGGTCCTTAGCAGCAAATTTCTAAATTGTTTTACATACAATCTTTGAAACAATAAAACACCTCATTTATTAATCAAAGGGAATTCATAGTTTGCTTTCTGTCAGTAATATAATATGTAGACTTAATAGAAGTAGTATAAAAATTCAGAGGTGATATTAATTGAAATTAAATTTCATTTTTGCATTTAATGCAATAATTTTGTTTTTAAATTTTCTCTCACATACTTAGTCAAAGAAGGCCATCAGACTATGGAGACCTCTTCATTGCCAACAACCATGATGTAGACAGCCACATGAAGGCAGTATATGCAAAGAAGTCCAAATCTAAGGTTTTTTGCTTTAGAATGCATTTTGTATGACATACGTTTATGTCAATTGATGGCTTTTAGAGCTTATTTTCTTGACGTGATATTTGATGGGTGTTTTGCTTGACCACAGGATGTTGATAATAGATGTGGTGATTCACACTGGAGGGCTGTAAACAACCATGGCAAAAAAGCAGCCAAACTTGACGAGACTGGACTTGAGACTGCAGGTCAAAATGAAATATATATTGTCATAAATGTATTTGGTCTGAAAATCTACAGCTGTATATGGAAGAGATGCATTTGTGTACTTATTGAAAGTGTTACTTATACAATCATGTAGGTTGCAGGCATGGCTTGGCCCAGTGGGCAATGAACATGTTCCAGGGAGAGCTGTATAGCTATGC